GTTCTCCGCTCTGCTGCTCCCCTCCACGACCTCGTCCTCCCACTGAGGCCCTCAGGCTTGCCAACCCCGACTTCACTGCAACCGCGCCTGTGCTTCTTCGGTGTTTCGTACATAGTGGAACCAGCTCCTGTGAGAGCACATCTGGCTACAGCCTTCCATCCACATTTTTCTTTTTTTTTTTTCTCCCCTTTAGTTTCTTCCTGGGTCAAGAGGATCCATCTCCTTCCGTCTGGTCTTCTCCAGGATGCTTTATTCCAGCATCTGAGTGGTTTCTCTCTGAGAAGCTCTTTACTTTGCTGCTTACTGATATGCCATCTTCCTAGCTTCTCCCTTCCTGTTTCTCCTTAAATCAAATAATTTTGTTTTGTGTATATCTTGTTATGCTAAGTAGACTCTGGGTGCTGTGTAAACTCTGGAGAATTTTGAATCTTTTGTAGGCTCAAGCTGCACATTCTCTTTCATCATCTATAGGTAAAGATTTAAGTCACCCTTCAGATTGTAAACCTGAGATGGGACTGCCATTTAGGATTGCTCAGAAGAGTCCAAGGCTGGTATGAGTTCATCAGTAGAACTAGGTGGTCTCTTTTCCTGGCTGTGTTTGTGCTGCAATTTCCTTGTTCTCATCCAAGGGACTCCTTTTTGTGGCTTGTGTAGCTTAGTGAGATGGAGTTTCTGCTGTTTCTGAGGTCACTGTGGCTCTTGTGCCCCTTGCCTGGAGTCTACACTCTGGGGCTAAAGCTGAAAGGAGAAAAACATCGGGAAATTCGCCCAGGGTGTTTGCTTCTTAGGTTTTGCTTTTTTATTTTTTAGCTTCTTAGATGATTGTTTTTGGGACTCTTTATCTGTAGATTTTAGCTGTCATGAGTTAAAATGGAATGAGATGAGTTGTTATACTGTTACAACAGAACTAAAACCTCTAGTCTTTTAGTGTTTCATTGACAATTGATTAGGGCTTTATTTCTAAGAGATTGTATGTAAGGATACATTAGTAATCTCACCAAAAGGTTGTTTTTATTGATAAAAATGTACAGTTTACTAAGACTTTTTCATTTTATGAGTCAAAAACTATTAGGTAAAGTAGATGAAAACATAGTTGGAAACTCAGAGTTCAAGTAAGTCAGAGTCCTAGTGGAAATTTAAACATATTTCTTAGCTTTGACAGATTAGAAAATTTTAATAAGAAGATTAACTAATTGTGCTTCACTTAATGGCTGGTTGCATACAGATAAGCTTATCCCCCATTCTTTTCAGATGTCTGACAAAACATTTGAGATCCAATTAAAACAAAACAAAAAAGTAGGGCACACAGAAAATACCACTTTCTTCAAAGTGTATCCCCTTGCATCGTGAACTACAGTCAAACAAAGGCAGAAGTTTGGGTGTTACTTTTATTTTCATTCTTGAAGTCACTAATTTTTCCAGTTTATGTGTGGGCCCTACTTGAGGGACGGAGGCAAACTGGTTTCTCTTAAATTTACTCCTTTTAAAAAGAATTCCTCAGCTCATCAGTGTGTAATCCCAGCACCCTGGGAGTTGAGGCAGGGGGGCTGTAGGTGTGCACCTAACCTGGAAATTTAGGGATTTGAGACTGTATCTCAAAATAAAAAGTAAGAAAACAAAAGTAAAAATGACTGGGATTATAAATTAGGGTGAAGGAAGGCCCCCGTTCAATCCCTAGTGCCCAAAAAACACAAAACAACAAACAAAACCTGGGTTGGAGTTGTCTTATAGCCACTGCCTTAAGCAGGTCAGGAGCAGATGGGTGTTTAATTTGCCTAAAAGTACACAATTGAAAGTACACATCTCCTGCTGGCCTACCCTTATGCTGCTGCCTGCTTAATGTCCGTCTCAAAGTGAATTTAATCTATTTAATTTTGGAGACTAAAGAAGAGTCAAGGGAGAAGTTGGAAGTTACTTGAGTTTCATTTTGTGTGAGTTATTAAGGCTTTCCAGTAAATTTCTGCTGAGGTGGTTTATTTTTTAATTATTTAAATTTGGTTTGTTAGTTGCACAGATCAGGTTTGTTGGTTTAGATACTTGAAGGATAAGTACAGCCGCATTTTTAGACAATTAAAGTCACTACTACAGGGAGATGTTGGAGTTAGTGGTGTTGGATGTTCATCAGAGGAGAAGGTTTTTTCAATATAGGGCTGTATGAAAAGAGTAATTTGTGTTTGCAGTTTGGGGCAACTCAAGCCAAACTGATGACAACTTTTAAATTTTTTCATTAAGCTATCATTGAAGTATTAAACCCAATTTAAAGAGCAAAGCCAGAAATTCACCTTACTGCTAGATACGGTGCTGTATTCCTATAATCCAAGCTACTCAGGGGGCTGAAGCCAAACTGGGCAACTAGGTGAGAACCTGTCTCAAAATAAAAATGTAAAAAAAGGAAAAAAGGCATTTAAGTTGTAGATCAGTGATAGAGTGCTGATGGGTTCAATGTTCAGTATTATTAGTAAAAAAAAAAAAAAAGAAAAGAAAAGAGGGAGAGGAGGAAGGAAGGAAAGAAGCAGGGAGCTGAATAAACAAATGAATGAATAAATGCACCCTACTTCCAAGACTCATTAACACCAAGAGAGGTGGTGCACACCTGTCCTGGAGGCTGAGGAGGAGGATGTAAGATTTGAGCCTATCCTTGACTGCTCAGAGACTTACCAAGACCCTGTCTCAAACAGGAGGCCAGTCGTGGCGGGATGCTCCTGTAGTCCCAGCCTACACTAATGGTGAGTTCAAGGCCAGCCTGAATTACAGAATGAGACCCTATATCAAAAAGAGAAAAATAAAAGAAGACTATAGTTTCTTAAACCTTAGTGAGCACTGAAATAATACAGAGGATTTGTTAAGATAGAAATGTTGGGTCCCCTCAGCTCGTCTGAGTGAGATGTGAGAGTAAGACTAGCCTAGGACTTTGAGAGGCAGTGCTACATAGTGGTTGTCTCCAGTTATCACCTGTTTATTCTCACGAAGGGGTTAAATGTTTTGTGCTGTGAGTTTTGACTCAAGTATTCTCCCCCAAGTTACTTTACAATCTTTATTTTCATTTTACAAATTGTACCAAAAAATTGTACAAGTAATACACATTCATTAAATAAAAATGAGGGTACCCAGGCCTTGGGAGCTGAGGCAGGAGGATCACCCTGAGTTTGAGGCCAGTCTGGGCTTTGTAATATATTCAAGGCCAGCCTGGACTATGTAGAGAAACCCTGTCTCAAAACAAAACAAAACAAAACAACAACAACAACAAAACCCAACCAAACAAACCCCACAACTTAGGGTAAAGAAAAATTAAAAAAAAGAATTAGTTATAAAGTATTCATAGACTGATACTTTAGTACATATCCTTCCAGTCTCTTGATAGACACATAAACTGGCATGTTTATGGTATGTATAGATAATAAATACACACATACCCACTTGTACACATATATACATACAAATGCATACTATAAAAGGGAGGCAGTATAATCCCTGTATTTTTCTGCCTATTTTTACCTATTATGTAATAAATACCTTTTCATGTTATAGATCTATATGGTTTTAATTGTTGCAGATTTTTCATATATATGTGTATATATATATATATATTTTTTTTAAATAAGTTCTTTTTCATTGGATCCTTAAGAGTTTTGTTTCAGTTTTTCATTATGAAAAATAATGCTAGGGGCTGGGGATTTAGCTCAGTGGCATAAGCGCCTACCTTGCAAGCGTGTGGTCATGAGTTCGATCCCTGGTACCGGTAAAAATACAAAAAAAGAAAAATAATGCTAGCCAGCTGAGTGTGGTGATGCACACCTGTAACCCTAGCAAATGCGAGGGAGACTGACACCAGGAGTTCCAGGTGGTGCTGGGCTACATATCCAGGTTGAGGCCAGCGTGAACTACATAGTGAGATCTGATTCAAAAACAAAACAACCACTAGCCAGACACATGTGTAATCCCAGCTACTCAGGAGCTCAAGACAGGAGGGTTGCAAGTTCAAAGCCAGTCTGGGCAATGTAATTGGACTCTTATTGATAAACAAACAAAAAAAAGGAAAGTGGACGGTGATGATATAGCTCGGTGGTAGAGCACTTGCCTAGCGTGCACAGAGCTCTACCCAGTCCCTGGTATTGCAGGAAAAAAATAACAATCTGGATTTCTTAGCCTGTTTATGCCAAAGATTGCAGTTTTTTGAGTTTTTGCATGAAATTCCTGTGTTACCTAGAAAATTTCAAAGAATAAGAATTTGAAGGAAAATACCCATGTGTCCAAAAACAGACCATAAGTCACTGAGGAATTAATACACGCATTTATGTGTATTTGCTCAGTTGTTTTCCTTCCTTCCTTCCTTCCTTCCTTCCTTCCTTCCTTCCTTCCTTCCTTTGTTCTCTCTTCCTTCCCTTTCCCCTTTTTTCATTTTTCTTTTCTTTTTCTCTCTCCATGCTATGAATCTTTCAAAAGTTGCCCAAGCTGGATTTCAATTTGTAATCCTCATGCTTTATCCTCCCAGACTTGCCCATTTGTTGTCTTTGGATAATAATCTCTTTGTATAATTGCTGTGTGACAGATTAGGTACTTACAAAAAAACTATTTGTTAGTCTGAGAGACAAATTATTTGAGTTTAAATTGCAATTTATTGGTAATTTTTATTTATTTTCATGAATTTACCTACATATATCCATTGTCCAGTGTCCATTGAATGCCCATCTTTTCATTTTTATTTGTAAGATGTTTTTATTAGAAAGTTAGCTTTTTGTGCACGTTTCAAATACTGTTACTGGTTGACTTGACTTCCATCTTTAAGTACGGCTTCATTTCCCCGCTCAGTTCCATGCGAAACCTCAAGTTTTGTGGAGTCAGATGTGGCCAGACTGCTTCTTCCCTGCTTTTAGTGGCTGGACATGTGTCTGAGTTGAGTGTACCCTGGTTTATGTGTTTAACCTCAGATTTTAGGGCCGTGTCAAAGGGAGCAGTTATCCAGTGCTTCTTCAGCTTCTCTCATCTCTTTTTTTGACTAGATGCTAACCCTGAGGTGACCATGACAATGCTCCGCTGGATCTACACGGATGAGTTGGAGTTCAGAGAGGACGATGTGTTCCTGACTGAATTGATGAAACTAGCGAATCGGTTCCAACTACAGCTCCTTAGGGAGAGGCAAGTCTAGCAGATATGTTCAGGCACCTCAGTGGCTGAGCTTTACTTATGCTGAGCGCTGGGAGACAGCTGCTTCTGCTAACATAAACTCATTTTGCAAGGTGTTCTTGTTAAGGTGTAGCTCGGGTGGAGCACCGGCTTGGCGTGCTTGAGGCCTTGGATTCCGTCCCGAGGGCCCCTAAATAGATTAAAGGTGGTGGTGAGGAGAGACTCTGATAGCTCCCTTTCTTTGTAGTGTTGTAAGCAAAATTTTACCAGTACTTTTTTGGTATTTTCTTGTCTTTCACATATCTGCTACCTGAGATTATATAATTTTGTTTTTTGATACCAGGAATGGAACTCAAAACCTTGCACTTACCAGGCAGGCACTTGAGCCACAGAGCTAAACCCCTGGCAATACTACATAATTGTATAAACTGATAAATTGAATATAACATAATACAATGCAGTGATGAAACCCTCAGCTTTTTCTTCCATTTTATTTTCTTTCACATTTTATTTTATCTTTTTAAAACAAGTATGCCAGTATTCAGATTAATTAATCAACCAGTAAGGTTTTGGCCAGGGTTTCTAAGATCTCACTTCATTTAAGTAACTGCATTGTAGGTCCTGAGTAGATAACTTGCTGTGTCTTTCTTTTGTGCTGGGCTTGAACTTGCGCTTGCCAAGGGGACACTTGTAATAGCACGTTTTCTCTGTTGCTCTCCCAAGATGGCATTTTAGGACTATGGGACACAAAGTGTACGAAATGTTAGACGAATGTCCTTAAGCGTCTGTTGATGTGGCTCTTGGTGGTCAGCTTGGTTGCTACATGGTGTCTTCTGATTTAGTGATCTTTTGTCTCCTCTGAGTGCATGAAGAAGGGCTTTTCTCATGGGTGGGGGATACTCTACCTGTTGCTGTGTTGCCTTGCCCAAGAGAACCAAGGGCCAGCTGCCTAGAGCTGCCTGCTGTTTCCTGGGGGACAACTAGCGTGTACCCATGTGACTTTGTACACAGCTTACAACAGCCTAATTGGTGTGAGCTCTTGGGTGCATTTTAATACCTAAATCCAATTTTTTTTTTTTTTTTTAATTTAAAGAAAAGGAAACAAAAGAATACATGGAGATTTTAAAAAAGGGTAGAAATGATACAAACTTACAGAAAAACAAACGGTAAGAAATTGCTGGTTGATAAGTTACACATTGTCATCTTAGAAGTAGCTGTTCATGTTATGGAATTGAAGCCTTTAGAATGACATTCATAAAGTGACACTACAAACCCTTCTGCTCTATGATCGAACAAGAGCTCAGTAACATGGTTATCAGTCCTACACATTTGTTTTACTTCTCAAAGAGGGTAAGATTAAACATATCAAAACAGAACATAGCAGTTAAAAAAACAATTTAAAGAAATACAGATTTCATAGGAAGCCCACTGGAGATCTTGATTGTCTATCTAACTGTCTCTAGTTTTTTACAAATAGTTGTCCCCTTCTTCATCCACCTTATATACTTAGTGTATATTCTAGAACTAATCAAATCATTGAAGACTTTTTAGGTCCTCAAGTACCAAATTAGGGAAGACAATAGTAACTACCAACTCATCTCTCCTTCTCTTTGTGATAGCTGTCCCCATCTCTACATATGCTGAAATTGAACTCAAGAAACCAGTCCAATGTCATTCTAATCAGCAAACATTAGTATTGCTAGAATTTCTATCATAATGCTACTAAATTAGCCTCGAGTTTCCTAGTGTCTCTTCCTCAGAGTATCTGTTCATTACATCTTGCATTATATAATCTGTTCCCATAAATAATTAAAAAGAAAAAAAGAACCCATGTGTGAATTTCCACATATATATCTATCCTCTCTGTGTTATAGGGAATACCAAGTCATAGCAAGCCAGCAAAACAATTTCCTAGAAAAACATGCAATGGATAAAACATTTAAGACCACAATATAGATGATCTTCCATAGTTACTATGTTTCCTCTTGTTATTTTCAATAGATTTGACCACCACACTGGCTTATTATAGTTAAATATAGTATCACCTATTTTTATAAAAACTTAACTTTGGCAGCATTGTAGGGTTTGGAAGCTGTTACTAATTAATACCAGTATGGATATTCTTTACAACTTGTCATCCTCAGAGTAGTTGCCTCTACTTTTAGGGTTGATACTGACAAGCATACCATTTTCAAATAAAATCAGCCATGGCCAACCCATAGTCTTACGATTCAGATTCAATTAAGATCAGTCATAGTAAGACAATGTAAGTATTATAGGATTTCAGTTTAAGTTAATAGGAAAGTAAGGATAGTTACCATGGTATAGCCTGCTATTTTTGGGTCAAGATGTCTATGTCCTCAAATCTGACGTGAGCGGACAGACCAGAACAAATTAAATTCAATCTAAATATGGCACTAGGGCTACTGTGTCTTTTAAATCATTATACACCATTAGCCATGACCTCTGCTTTTTTTTTTTTTTTTTTTAAATATAGTTTCAGAGCTGTCTATACTAAAGACTAGCTTACCATCTCTGCCTCATGTCTGCTACTACACTTTTCTGCTATAATTTGTCCACCTTATTCCCTCATTCCATGGTCTGCCCCGTTCCCTGAGGCCTCTCTGCCACTGTTGCTGGAATCCTGATATCTCTTCCTCTCTTTCTCTGTAATGTCCTTCAGCGCTCTCTGTAGGGTTGGATTGGTGGTCACGAACTCCCACAGTTCCTCCTTGTCTTGAAAGTATCTTATTTCTTCATTAATTTTTAGAGAGAGTTTTGATGGATATATGAACTTTGGTTGCATATTTTTTTCTTTCAGGACTTGGAATATTTCTCCCCACTCCCTTCTTGACTTAAGAGTTTGTGTTGATAAGTCTGCTGTTATTTTGATAGATTTCCCATTATAGGTAACCTGCATCTTTTCTCTGACTGCTTTTAATATTCTGTTTTTTTGGTGGATTTCTGGGATCTCGATTATTATATGTCTAGGCGTAGATCTGTTTTGGTTGTAGGTAGCTGGTGTTCTGTATGCTTCTTTTATCTGGATATCATTTCTTTTTGCTATACATGGGAAATTTTGCTTTAATATCTCTGTGAATATTTTTTGTATTTCATTTTTGGATGTTCCTGCTTCCTCACTCACATTCTTTATTCTTAGGTTATGTATCTTTTTGTCATCTTCCAGTTTTAGAATTGCTTCTTTCTGGTTCCTTGTTATTTTTAAGAGGCTTTTTCTTTCACGTTCATATGTCCTAAATCTTTCTTCAAGTTTCAGAAGGCTATCTTTAGTTTCTGTCAAGGCATTTTGCCAATGTTCAATGGAGTTTTTAGTTTCCTGATTTTCTCTTTGGATCTGTTTCATGTATTCTAGGTTATGCTTAAATTCTTCTTCAGATGCTTCTCTTTCTTTTCTGATTTCCTCAGTTCTTCCATCTGTGTTCTCTTGGGCGGGGCTTGTCATTTCTTTAATTAATCTCTTTATATCTTGCCTCACTTGGATCAGGAGTACAGCTTTAAATTCCTCTATGAGATCATGTAGGTACTTTTTAATTTCAGCTGATGCTGTGTCAAGTAGTGGATGGTTACTGTGCTTGTTCTCTTCGGTGTTTACTTCTCCTGGGCTTATTTTCTCCTGTTGGGCAGCTGGAGATTTTTTTTTTATTTTTATCTCTTGTCATGTTTCTGGTTTCTTTCAGACTGTCCTGGAGTTCTCTGGCCCTCTCTGAATTGCTTAGGGCCTTTCAGAAGCGTGCTGGCTTGAGTTTTTGCTGTCCTCCCCAATTTACTGTTATCTGGGGTAGACTGGGCTGCAGGGGCAGTACAGGCTAGTCTCTAGCCTCTGTGCCAGTTAGTTCCTAAATTAGGCTGTACTTTCTGGTTGTCACTGAGTTGTGACTATTTTGTATCCGCTCATTGGGCCCCAAGCAGAGGCTTGGGTTAGCCCCAGTATCTCCTGCCAGTTCTCTTTGTACCAGAAGCAGCTGACTAATGTCACTATGGCACAGGGTCCTGCCCAAATCTCAGCTGTTCTCTTCCAGACCTCTCTGTGTCAGGAGCACCAGCACAGCAGAACTGCCCAAACTCTGTATGAGGCTGAAGCCAACACGTACTCAGGCTCTGCCCAATTCCAAGATGCCTTCCACTAGCCCTCCCTACAGGGGGCCCAGTGACGCCACTGAGCTGTAGGTTCTGCCCAACTGTAAAATGGCTGCCACCAGACTCTGTGTTATTGATGTCCCCGTGGTGGCGGGCACTGTCCCGTTCCAAGATGTTTTCTGGCCAACCCCGGCAGTCGCAGGGTCTCTAGTACTCACCAGGGTCCACGCCGCCCACTTTTCCCACGTTCCCAGCACAGCACTGATCGGTCAGAGATCCGCGCAGCGTGCATTCCCGGTACAGGGTGGAACGGTCAGGAATCTGCGCTGCGTGCACTCCCGGCTCAGTGCAGAACCGTCGGAAACCCGCGCGGCGTGCCCTCGCGGCCCGGCGCGGAGCAGTCAGAAATCCGCGCTGCGTGCACTCCCAGTACGGTGTGGAAGGGTCAGAAACCCGGGCGGCGTGCCCTCCCAGCACAGTGCGGAACAGCGTTTGGCTTTGGAGCTCGAGAGTCTTTCACAATCTCCTCTGGTGTAGCTGGGCAGTCAAAAACCAACACAGCTTTTCCTGTTGCGTCCCTGAGGTTAAACTGTTGATTTAAAGGCGCAGGATTTGCATCTTCCCGTTTTCAGCCTTCACAGTCTCAGCACGACTTTAAATCCTCCAGCTGCACTGTCTTGGTTAATAAGAATCATTATCCATTTGTCTGGCCCTCTCCATGTTGTGATATTCTAGCTTTTAATATGATTTCTCCGGAGAGACTCTCCGCCCGATCCTCTAGTTAGCCGCCATTTTCCAAGTCCGCTTAGACTTTTCTTTTTTTTTTTTTTTTTTTGTCTTTTTCCTTTTTATCGGTACCGGGGATCGAACTCACGACTGCCTGCTTTCAAGGCAGGCGCTTATGCCGCTGAGCTAAACCCCCAGCCCCCTAAATCCAATTTTAAGGAAACATGCAAGATCTGTAGAATAGGTTTTCAGTGGAATATTTATTAGCAAAATAGTGTTAGGTTATTACAGAAAGCTAACTGTAATTACTATCAAGGTCTTGCAATTAACTCTTTTCTTTTGCTCATTTTGTAAGTTTTTTAATCATCCAAGAGTGAACTGGGCTGCTTTTAATTAGATTGAGTGTAATTTATATAAAAGTTTTTTTTTTTTCAGATTTCCTGCAGTTTCTTTCATTGACCATGTCAGACTTGCCTATAAATTAAATTGCTTTGATAAAAATGCCCAGGGTTGGTGTAGTTTAAAGAATTATATTGTGTAATGGATTCTTTAATTAAAATGTTTGTTGACTAATTAGACTTTATAAAGTCAATATTACCAGATGCTCAAATATGAACTGTTAAATGTGGTATTAAGTTGTTTGGATGGAAGAGACCCTGGAGTAGATTCAGTTGGCTCTTAAAAGGGTCGGAATGCTCAATGCTGTCAGAGGAGAAATGACATGTTTGAGATGGTAAATGAAAGAATTCTTAACAAATGTGTACTTTGCTCATTTTTTTAATGCAGGAATTTCGATGGTTTTAGAATGCCATCATCAGTTCAGTAAAAGGAAAGGGGTTTTTGTTTTATCAGAAAAATACTCTTATTAAAAATTAACATGAAGGGCTGGGGATATGGGTGCACAGGGGCACCTGCCTGGCAAGTGTGAGGTCCTAAATTCAATTCTTTGTACCAAAAGAAAAATTAACATGGAAAAATGAATTAATATAGTAATTTTTCTTGATGTTAAAAACATAATACATACTCAGTGTATGGTATTTGAAAACACAAAATTATGTAGAGAAAAAACAAGTCATCTATAACTCAACCCTGGTTTCTTTTAGGTATTTTTTCTTTCAGCAATTCTTTTGTTTCTCACATACATATGAGAATTGACAAGAAAACCGAACTGGAATTTGTGGGATGCTTAATTTGTACTTTTAACATCAGATTTATTGTGTTCGTTCATTTGCATGCTTTTTATGTTGAATTGAGTCTAAATTTTGAAGTATGATTACATGTTTTTAGTTGTGTAAGTCATGTCAATTATTCCTTACACCTATCCAAATGGCAAACGGGATCCTGCAGTGAAATTGAAGTGTCTGCCACTTTTAACAAAAAATCTGACCTTATGAAACATGTTAGAATCTCTTGGTGCCATGCCTTGGGGCAGTAAATGTGAGGGAAGGGCTTTTTAGACCCTCAGCATTTGTCTGTGCAGTGCTCTGTAAAGTGTTCCTACAGTGTGATTGTGACTCTGAGATCACACTGTGTGTAGGGCTTCCTGCTGCTAGGGTAGTAAGGTGGCAGAAATGTGTCTGTCTTTGTTTAAGTGGTGAAAGTTTCGTATATCTGAAGAGAGGACTTTTCTCCTGAGATGATCTGAGTTTGTAGCTAAGGTCAGAGCAGCCTTGTTGATCATTGTGGTGATGTGGTATGAGGTTTGGGAAGCCAATAGTATAGAAAACTGAGGTTTAAGAATAGGATGCTTTTGCCTGAAACTTACATTCTTCTTCTTATAGTAACTTACATTGCTTTAAACTTGATTTAAAAAATGTCCTAGGAGGGATGGCTCCTCATAGCAGCCAGCAGGGTGGTTGAAACAAAGCAGCTGTGCATGTTTCTTCTTGTAAAGTATATGCCTGCTGTTAACTGCTAGATGGAGGAAGGACACAGCCTGCATTTGTGATCCTGCTTAAGCTTTGAAAATTTGCTCTTTAGGGGCTGGGGATTTAGCTCAGCGGCATAAGCACCTGCCTTGCAAGTGCGTGGTCATGAATTTGATCCCTGGTACTGGTAAAAAAAAAAAAAAGAAAAAGAAAATTTGCTCTTTGTTTTTCCCAGGTCTTTCTTGGGTCCCTCCTTTCCCTTCTCTTCTGCACTGAGAGGAAAAGTGTTGTTCGTGGCTTCTTTTACCTAAAGGTCACATGTTAAGATTGGGAATTATCAGCTAGCCAGTTATTTATAGTAGTAGTGGAATCCATTAATATTAGTTATTAAATTTTGAAGTCTTCTTGTACTCCTTTTCTGTTTTTCCTTCAGGGAGGAATTTTAGGCCTTTGAGAAGAAGGGGAGAGGCAGAAAAAGGGATTACCTATTATGTACCTCATGCTGTGCTGAATATTACTCTTTTTTTTTTGTCTTTTTCCTTTTTATCAGTACTGGGGATCAAACTCACAACTCTCTGCTTGCAAGGCAGGTGCTTATGCCACTGAGCTAAATCCCCAGCCCCTGAATATTACTCTTAAAAACAAAAGATCCATGTGGGGTGGCACATACCTGTAATCCCAGCACTGGAGGCTGAGGCAAGAGTATTGCTACAAATTGAGTTCAAGGCCAGCCTGGGCTACATAGTGAATTCAAGACCATCCTGCACTGCATAGCAAAACTCTGTCTCAAAAAACCAAAAAAGAAAGCCGGGTGTAGTGGCTCACGCCTGTAATCCCAGCACTCAGGAGGCTGAGGCAGGAGGATCATTGCGAGTTCGAGACCAGCTTGGGCTACAAAGTGAGCTCAAGGCCAGCCGGAACTGCATAGCGAGACCCTGTTTCAAAAAGACAAAAAAAAAAAAAAAAAAAACAAAAAACAAAAAACCCAAAAAACAAAAAAGAGGCCTGGGGCTTAGTTCAGGGGTTTAAGTGCCTGCTTGGCAAACTTGAGGTCATGAATTTGATCCCCAGCACACACACACACACACACACACACACAAACCACCACCACCACAACAACAAAAAACCAAAAAAGAAAAAAAAGTTTCCCTGAAGCTCTGGAACACAGCATCATGATTATTTTACAAGAGATAGAAACAAGTAATTTGGCTCCTGACATTTAGAGGCTCTCAACTCTGTTCTTTCTTACCTTGCAGTTCTTTTTTCTGGCTTTGTGAGTAGAGAAGAGTTTTGACGGAGGCTGTAAGACAAAGGCAACAGTGAGATGTTAGGAAAGGACCACGTCTGGGCTTCTTTGCCTCAAGGCTCACTGAGGTATCCAGTAATTCCAGAATGGAGGAACCCTGAATCTTTGCAGTTGCCGCTTCCTCTCAACTAGGATGTGGTGTCTGCTTTATGCTATCAGTGGCTTGTCTGCCTGTTTGCAGATCTTTCTTCCCTGAGGTGGTCAATGTTCCCTTCCCTGATGTAGTGATTCTTAAGTTTTGAGTCTTGTTACGTGGCTTTGTGGATAGTTACAATTCATATACAAATTTGCCTTTTGGGGGAACTTTTAAGAAGACAATAATTTATTGAGCTGTGCTGATAGGAATACAGATGTGTTCCATATGATTAAATGTCAAAAGCCTACAGTCAGTCTGTCATTGTATTAGATTCTAAAATTACATGTACCACTTTGTAATTTCCATTTGGATCACTATTACCTAATTGACTACACTTGTAACCTTATTAGTTGACTATAGTTTTGCCTTCCTCATGGCTTTGCTCAATAAAACACCCTTGAGAAGCGGGGTGGGCGGGCATCGCACCTTCTGGGCCTCCTGTCCCTCCTAGATAAAGCTTTCTTAAATTCTTCCTACTCTTGAAAAAATAAAATAAATAACCTGTGTATATGATTGGCAGGTTTCATGTGATTACTTTTAAGGCAGTGGAAGTATTATTCTTAACAAGTTTATTTGGAGGTTGATTTTTACCAGAATTGAGCAAAATGATATCATAATGGCCAGGCATGGTGGTGCACGCCTGTCATCCCAGCGTTGTGAGACAGGCAGGGGGAGCACTGCGAGTTTGAAGCCAACTGGGCTATCCAGTATCTAGGAGGCCAGCCTAGGCTACATGGCAAGACCCTGTCTTAAACAAAAGCAAGAAACATAGTAAACAAACATATATCAAATATAATATCCTAATGAAATCCTAGTACTTTTAAAATATGGGAGCCTAGCTGTCATTTATTCATAGCCACATAGCTTAACCTTACACCTTCTACCATGGTAAGCCAGTACACAGATTATTGCTTTCACTTGTTGATTTGTGAATATATTTATCTTAATAACATTGTACCCCTAATGTTGTCTTACAGATGTGAGAAAGGCGTGATGTCTCTGGTAAATGTTAGGAACTGCATTCGCTTCTATCAGACCGCGGAGGAACTAAATGCCAGCACCCTGATGAACTACTGTGCAGAAATTATTGCAAGTCACTGGGTGAGTGACAGATTGAGGGGAGGGACTGAAGCCCTCTAGCGGATTTGGGAGGCCCAGGTGTGAGACCTGGTGCTGTAAGCAGTCATCTCCCAGGTACCCAGCTTTCTCTTGTTACAGTGTTGAGGAATGAGTAGTTGAATTAGATGATCTGTGAGACTTTTTTGAGTTCTGAAAGTCCAGTGGTTGTGCGGTTTCAGAGTAGAGGGACAGCAGGTGGTTCTGGCTCAGAAATGGGATTGAAAGGAAGGGTCACCTGCCTGCGTTTCTCCTTTTTCTGAGGATGCTGCAGCCAGGCTGCAGAAGGAAGATGCTGCTGTGTGCCAAGCAGACCTGGGTACTCAACAGAGTCATTTCACAGGGCTTCCTGCCTTCTTTTTCAGCTGGAGACAAAGTTAAACTTTGATTTGCCTTTCTTACCTAGCTTTCATTGAACAGATCAGTTTTATATTTCTTTGTTGTGTTTTACATTTTAAAAAGTCAGGGCTGTTTTTCTTTTTATTATTATTTTGTTTGTTTGAGACAGGCTCTTGCTGTGGAGTTCAGGCTGGCTTTGAACTCACTGTATAACCAGGGCAGGCCTCAAACTTTAGCAATCCTTGTACCTCAGCCTGAGATTTTAGGTGTTCCCCACTTCACCTGGCCAGGGCTATGTTTGTATATTAGTTTCCGTGAACCGTTTGGTATCCAACAGTGTTGTGGAAAGAATCTTAGTGTTTCAGAAAAGATGTCTGAAAGAACTCACCTTCAAAAAATGGAGGACCTGAGCGTGGTAACCCTTACTTACAATCCCAAGCAGTGGTGAGGCTGAGATAGGAAGATTTCCAGATGGCAGTCAATCTGGGCTACATAGTGAGTTTAAGGTCAGCCTGAACTACGTAGTGAGATATTGTCTCAGAAAATAAAAAAAGAAGAGAATTGAAACAGGAATGGTAACCTAATTCTGTTGGTAGGTAGAAATAGATCAATAGGAGAGACAGCCATAATTCAGTGAGAGTTGTGTATGGAAGTTGTGAGTTTATAATTGCCACCTTGATCAGCTTGGGGGCACTCATGCATAACTTGCTTCTTACTGAGTGTCAGAGGTGCTTGTGTAGTCCTGTCTTCCTGAGACACACAGTGGTGCCGTCATAGTACAAGCACGGGAGGTGGCCTCTGGGTTCCAGATCCTGGCTCAGCTGTTCAGCAGTGTCTGAACTTGTGTGAGTTATTGAGCCTCCGTGTGCTTCACTGTCTTCTGGAAGATGAAGGTGATAATAGGACTCATTCGGTAGGGTTTGTGAGAATTGACCTACTTGAGAAATGGTAAGTTGATAAATGACAGTTGATATTGTTGATACTTTATTTCACTTTTCGTTGTGCTTGTGATCACTAGGATGATCTACGAAAGGAGGACTTCAGTAGCATGAGTGCTCAGTTGTTATATAAGATGATCAAGTCCAAGACAGAATATCCATTACATAAAGCTATCAAAGTGGAAAGAGAAGATGTGGTCTTCCTTTACCTGATTGAAGTGGATTCACAGGTACTTTCTTTTTTTCTTTATCCAAAACTGAAATGCTTGAGTTTTCTCTGCAATGCTTTTTCATTCCTTCTGGGCCATGACTAGCACAATCTTTAATGTATGTGTCTTTATGAATAGCATGCTGTAGGACATCTTGGCTTCTATGCTGCTGCTCAGGTTCTTCCAGTCTTAGTCTGTTGCCCAATTTGAAAGCTACTTCCACATTTCTAAATAGTTGATTTAGCAATACCTGACTTCCAAAGTCAAGGTGAGAGAAATTAAAACAAGTTATATTTGCTACTCAGTGTTGATTTACAACCCTATCTTCGCAGCTCCCAGGGAAACTGAACGAAGTGGATCATAACGGAGATCTTGCATTAGATCTAGCCCTTTCACGACGACTAGAGAGTATTGCCACCACGCTGGTTAGTCATAAAGCGGATGTAGATATGGTAGACAAGAATGGCTGGAGTTTGTTACATAAAGGAATCCAAAGAGGTAGGAAGAAACATATCTTACATTTTTTTCTGCAGGCAATATTTTTTATCCGTGTGGTTCTGAAGGCTCTGACTCAGGTTCAGAAATTCACAAAGGCATCTGAGTCTATACTTGCAGGATGGGTGACTTAGAATTTGTGGTCACTGGGTCAGAGGAAGGACTGAAGTCCTACTGCCTGGTCCTTGTTAGTTTGGCTGTTCATAGTGCCGACAGGGCCTGAGGAAGAAAGGTAGAAAGATGGCCATTGAGAAGATGTACCTTTTATGTGTAAGCAGTTGATAAGTGTACTTGTCAAGTAAGTATCACTGTCCTAAGTATTGTTAGGAAGACTTGACTTTTTTATCCTAGGATGAATTTGTAAGGAAAGTGTCAAAATCATGCAAATTTAAGCGTATGCTTAGAATCCGAGTTTATTCTTCACAGACTAGACTTTGACGTGACAGAGCCATAGTTTTGTTTGAATGAAGTTCTTGGCTGTGCTGCAGACCAACCAGGGCCTTGTGAATGTTAGACTCAGCTGAATCCCTACCCCGGAATTGACTTTGCAAGTTGGAAAATAAAGGACCAGTCCGTTTTTTGTTTTATTTTTCCCATGTCCTTATTAATTCATACATTCAAACAGGTCTTGTTTAACTTTGCTCTGCCAAGCTGTGTTTTCAGGTTTTTTCCCCTCCACTTTTTGAGACAGGGTCTCTTGTAGTGTTGGGTGGCTTGGGCTGGCCTTGACCCTCTCCCTGCACCTCCTGCACCCTGGAATTACAGGCATACACCATCTCACCTGACCACCGTTGCTGTGGTCGTTCTTGGCAGAAGGAGAATGGAGAAGTAGAATTCTTACATGGAGTGAAAGCTTTCAAAAGTACGGAAACTTTTTGTAGAGAGATAGTTGGCTTGATGAAACATTTTGCTGTGGCCACTTTACTTATAGGCAGCAAAACCTGAGTAGACTGGTTCACCACATCTTCCTTATTCTCTTCACCCCATGTTAACTGTGTTTATTTTTAGCTTTCTGATTATGCATTATAATTCCGTTGCTGTCTCTGATATCTTTGCCTTTCCCACATTGCTCCTTGTTGGTGGGATGGTGTACCTTCTCTGCTGGTTTTGTTGCAGCTGTAGCTTTGTCCTGTGTAGCCAGAGGTTTTAATATGCTCTTCTGAGTCATGTGTTAAAAATACTGACTTTAAACTGGGCACGGTGGCACACACCTGTAATCCCAGCACTCAGGAGGCTGAGGCTGGAGGATTGCTGTGAGTTCACAGTCAGCCTGGGCTACAGAGTGAGCTCAAGGCCAGCCTGAACTGCATAGAGAGACCCTGTCTCAAAAAGACAAAAAAAAAAGTGTTGAGTTTGTTGGCTGTCGGAAGGAAGGTTTTGTTCATCATTGTTAGGAAACCCTTAGTGCAGTCAGCATCAGATCAGGTGCCACGTTCCCAAGCACTGCTCTGCACTTGGCAGTGGCTGAGAGCTGAGCGCTGGGGTGTGTGCTCTGTGGGGGAAGGGTGCCACCACCCAGGGCATTGTTCTCCTATACTGTTCAGTGGCTGAGGTGTTTATTTTGGAAACAAACACACTTGTTAACAATTTGAGCATTATGTCCCTTTACTCTCAGGGAGTTAAATTGTTATGTTTGATGACATTGTTTATTAAGTGTTTTGGTGATTGCTTAGTTACCAGAATTGCTAAGAATTGGTGATACATTTTTGATACTTACTTTCAAATGATGTAATCTTTGACCCTGAATTTATGACCTGTCTGCATCATGTGGGTAAGTTATGTATGGAATTAATAAACTTGCTTGTTGCTAGCTTTAAAGAATGTGACAAGATGAAGCAGAGCACTGGCTCTGCAGAGCGGATATCATGGTTTGAACTGGTTTGAACCATGGCTCCCCCATTGGCTCAACGCTAAGGGTTTCCTACCAATGACAGTCCTTTGACTGCACTGTCTTCTGTTTTTCACTTGTGAAGTGGTAGCAATTTCCGTTTTACTGAGTTGTGAGGGGGTAGAAAGGAGTGTTAGCATGGCAGCTGTGGTGGCTAGCAGTTGGCTGATGAAGTCAACTAGCTGGCTTTATTTTGCCCTTGCCCAGCTTTTATTATTCCCCCAGATCAGATCCAGTGTTTGTGGGCATGTTTTTATGTTTTTCTCCTTCGGTCTGCTGACCTTCTCAGATGATGACACTGAACAATGCACTGAGTTTAACTGTTAACCTTGTGTTAAATCCCTTGTAATAGGAACGAAGGAAGGTCTTCAAAATATGGGTATAAGACAGAATCTGTAACCAAATAGTGATTATCGTACTGAGTATCCCAGTCTTCAAAAGGATGTAGTATGCAGCTGTATTTTTTAGTCCACGGGAGGCATGCTTATAGCCAAGTAGTTGACATGTCCTTAATTATCTTAAACTGGGCAAGATATAGCCTTAGTTTCATAAAAAATGTAACTTTTTTACTAAAAAAGCCCTCAATAACACCGATCCATGAGTGTCTCTCATCCTTTTCTTGCCTTTTGTGTTGTTTTGTTTTTGTGGTATTGGGGACGGAATCCAGGGTCTTGCACATGCTAGACAAGTGCCCTACCACTGAGCTGCCTCTACAGCCTCAGTGAGTTTCTCAACAGGGTGAGTTGTCCAGTTGTTTTTGGTAAATGTGAAATAGTGCCATCTATTGGAAGAGCATGTAGTACAGTATTATTCTTTTGGTGGTACTAGTGATTGAACTCAAGGCCTCATGCATGCTGGGCAAGCACTGAACCATATCCTTGACCTTTTTGAAGTTTTATTTTGAGATGGATCTCATTAAGTTGTCCAGACTGGCCTCAAGATTGTGATTCTCCTGCCTTAGTGTCATGAGTAGCTGGGATTATAGAACTACATCTAGCTGGTTTGTATTCATTGAGTAATTAAGTTTTCTGGCTATGTCCTCAATAAAATTTTGGTCAGGAAGCTATATTGAAAGAAGAATTATATGTGGATTTAAAACTTTTAAACTTTTAGCTCAGCATGGTGGCGCATGCCTATAATCCCAGCACTCAGGAAGCTGAGGCAAGAAGATCACCCTGAGTTTAAGGCCAGCCTGGGCTACATAGTGAGGCCCCGTCTCCAAAAAACAAAAATAGAAACAAAATAAAAACAAAACTTTTTTTTGTAGGGATATTTTTATGTGGAAAATTACTATAGTAATGCCTCACTTATTTGGCATTGTTGGTGAATGAGGTAATAAATAACTGGAACTTTTAAGCACCAAGCAGGTTCTGTTTTATTTATTTATTTTTGGTGCCCAGGATTGAACCCAAGGCCTCAAGAATGCTAAGCATGTGCTGTACTATGAGCTGTACCTCCAACCTTAACTGTTTTTAATGGAAATCTTTCTAAAAAGTATTACACATTTTTTTTTTTTTTTTTTTTTTCTTTTTGTACTGGGGATTGAACTCATGACCATGTGCTTGCAAGGCAGGTACTTATGCCACTGAGCTAAATCCCCAGCTACACATTTTCTTATTGCCAGAAATCTTTTAAATGGTGCTTCTTTTATTTTCTGTTCCCTTTTTTTGTTTTGCAGTTTTGATATTGGTTGTCTGCTTCTTCTAGTTTTTTTACCCTCTGGACTGATTTGCTTTCATGTGTAACATCAACAATTTTCAGTTTCTTCTCTTTCAGCTTTCTTCCCCTTTCCCTTTCCCTTCCCTTCCTGTCTCCTCCTTCTCTCCTCTCATCCTTCCCTCCCTCCCTTCCTTCTTCCTTCTTTCCTTTCTTCCTTCCTTTCCTTCTTTTCTTTCTTCCCTTTTTAATTTTGACACAGGGTCTCACTAAGTTACTAGTACTGGCCTCAAACTTGTGACTCTCCTGCCTCAACTTCCTAAACTGGAATTAACATGTGTATACCACCACTCAAGTTTAACAATTTTCAATTTCTAATAATTTCCAAAAAGCTTTTTGTGAGTGTGAAATATATAAAAATATATAATTATGAGTAAAAAAACTTTACCTTTGAATCTTACTAATGAAGTAAATCTGATCTAAAAATTATTTAAGAAGGCGTGTAATGTGAAATGTCTGTTACGCCTTCTGTCTTGATCCAGCCATTTGTAGGGTTTTTTACCGTAACTATTGAGGTTTCTGTGTGCAGCGTTACACACTTGGTCGTTTGTTTGGTGTGCTGTATGTGCATTTTTTCATTTAAGAATAGGGATAGAAAGATAATATTTTTGGAGAAAGAGCTGGTAAGAGATGCCCAAAGTCATCTGATAGCATAAATTGACTGGAATTGGAGCCCTTTTGATAAAGTGGAACACAGTAGCCCTACCTGGTTAATCCATTTTCTTCCCAAACATCTCCTCAGAGTCTAAAGAACACACTGGTGGGTACAGAATATGCACACAGACATAGGCACCTGTCTGTCTTTCTGTTTCTCCCTGTCTCCCTTCTGCATGGAAGCTGACTTATGTCCCCTGCAGGCTGCTGAGAGCAGTACCCTGAGTAGAATGGCTCAGAACGTTTGTCACTAGAGGCTTTCTCTGTTCATTATCTCTGGTGCTTCGTCATTGTTTTTTTATTTTCTTACATGGTGTCACTGTATGGATAGCCAGTGTTTTTATATTTTAAAATATAAACAGATAAAGCCAGGGAATGTTGAATTCTAATCATAGAGTAGGTTTAGTTAATTAATCGTTGTCACCCTCAAAGCTGACTTGACAAGCATGCTTTCCCTGATACTATACAATGTTTTTAGTTCTCAGTTGCCACTCATTGCTTAGCTCTGAATGCACCTGCATGTTTGTGGGACCAATCTACAGTCATCTTTTCTTTAATGGTATTTTCTCAATTACATACTTTTAATGTCTTTAGATAAACCATTCTTGTTCTTTATCAACATTTGAAGTTAGTTTTTATCATACAGAGAAAGTCAAAGATGATAAATTAAATTATTAAATGATTTTATGTAAGTTTTTTAGTCTTAATTTGGAATTCACATTAGTCTGACCTAGACTCTTAATACTTTTAAGTACGAAGGTGAAGGAAGGGATTCACAGAGAATCCTCCTGTTGCTTTGGCTAGGAAATGGGAGACAGAAGGAGAGAGAAAAATTGTGCTGGTTGAATCTTGGAAGAGATTCTTTTTGATATACTGGAAGATGCCTCTGAAGGATAAATGACCCCTTTTCGCCAGTACTAGGGATTAAAGCCAGAGAATAATCAGCAATTTTTATTCTAAGACAGGGTTTTGTTAAGTTGTCCAGCCTGGCCTCAAACTTGTGATTGTTTTTCCTCAGCCTCCTGAGTACCTGGGGGTACAGGCATGCACCACCACAGCCAGCCTGGACGCCTTGTGCTCTTAAACAGTGAAGGGCTACTGAGGTGAGGAGGCAGGACAGGTGATCGATCACCAGGAGTCAAAAGTTGGACAAAGAACTTTTGGATTGGAGTTTGTACTTCCATGATCTCAGGAAATTCCTTCCGACACACTTGGTTTTTCTTCTGTATTCATAGGTATCAGCTACTTCCTTCTGAGGAAAGCGATAGCGGCTTGTCCTAACTGTCGTCATGTTCTTTCTTTTCAAGGCGATGTGTTCGCTTCTACTTTCCTTATTAAGAACGGGGCCCTTGTCAATGCCGCTACCTTGGGGGCTCAGGAGACACCATTACACCTTGTGGCACTGTACAGTTCCAAGAAACACTCAGCAGAGGAGATGTCTGAGATGGCCCAGATTGCACAGGCTCTTCTGCAGGCTGGTGCCAACTCCAACATGCAAGACAGCAAGGGCCGGTAAGTTGGGGACCGAGAGACTGTGTGACCTTTACCTCTAAGCTGAGAAGGGTGTTTCATGGTGGCACATAATGGCTGTACAGAATATTTGCATTAATTCATTCTGATGTTTATTGACATCACAAACATTTATGTATAATGCAAGCAAGTGTCATAGTTAAAACATTTCCATCCTGGTGAACTGAAGCCCTTGAATTTCTAAGTCTTCTATCATCTTCATGTTGGATAGAACCAGAGTGGTCATCTGGTCAGCTTTCTGTGGAATCTTCTTCATTGCTTCTGTGAGGTGTAACTGAGAAAAAATGCCCTCTCTGAAACCCAGTTGTGTCTTGCCCCATTTTAGACAACTCTTTGTCTACACAACTCGCTGCTCTCTTCTGTTGCATAGCCCTTTGCGTAGTTGTCAGTATCTATGTTCCTTTTGCCCCTCCCTCCCGGGACTTAGTTGAGGTTCTATGTGGTCTAGAATCTCAGAAGGGCCTCCTACCTCCAGGACAGCAGTGTGGGAAGTTGTAGAGCCACGTGAGCTACCTGCACTCCACTGATGGATAGAGCTCACTGAGTATCACAGCTACTCAGTGTTTTATATCTTTAGAAATCTCTCAAAAAGAAAGAAAAAGAAGGCCAGCCGTGGTAGCACGGACCTGTAACCCAGCCTTGCAGAATCTGAGGCAGAAGCTCTCGGATGCTATAATCCAGCCTGGGCTACAAAGTGAGTTCAAGGCCTGCCTGGACTACATGACAAGACCTTGTCACAGAAAAAAAAAAAGGAAAAAAAAGATTTCTGTTGTTTGGTTTGTTAGACTAGGAAAATGAATTTGACAAAGTATTGAAGTAAAGTGGATATTCATGAACCCCATATCATTTAATACCTACCTTACTCCCCAAATTACTGCATCTCTATTCCCCCGTATAGTCTTTGATTTTTTTTCCTCTCTTTTCTGCTGCTGCAGCCAATTCTGGCAGGCTGAGCGTAAGGTAGAAGCCAGCCTTGGCTCTGGCTGCAGTGGCAGTCTTCTTCAGGGCACTTGAGCTAAGTAAGAGCGGTGAGGAGCGGGTTAACTGATCCTTCAGTCTTTCTCACCCATTGCTTCTCTTCTGTGGGTGTAGTAGAAAATTATGGGAAGGAGAAAAAAATGGGATTTTTGGGTCAGGGATTTAGCTCAGCAGCATAAGTGCCTGCCTTGCAAGTACACAGTCATGAATTTAATCCCTGGTACCAAAAAAAAAAAAAAAAAAAGAAAGAAAGAAAGAAAAGGCTTTTTTGTCTTTTTGAGACGGGGCTCACTATGCAGTTCAGGCTGTCCTTGAGGCTCCTGCCTCAGCCTCCTCAGTGCTGGTATTACAGGCATATGCTACTACACCTGGCTTCGACAGATGATAACAGATAAGCACATCTGTTGTTAGTCATTTTGCTAGCAGCTGGGACAGAATACTCAGTGTCTGCAGCTGGAGGGATGAGAAGTTTATTTTGGCTCGTTTGGATTCACAGGTGGCAGGTTCCAAGGCAGGATGGCAGGCAGAGTCGAATGATGGAGGCTTGGTGGCCAAGAAGCAAGGAGTTAACGGGCAAGGGTGGGGCGGACAGGGAAAGTACACCCCTCTAGGTCATGCCTCAGTGACCTGGCCTCTTCTGACAGAACCCCAGTCCTAACTACGGGCTGTCTGGGAGCCCCATAATTCAGGCACCTTCCAAAAGTCCTGCCTCTCAGCCCATGAGCCTCCGAGGAGGCCTCTAGCTCTATAGTATCTGTGCTCCTGTTTGGATTCTTGGTCATGGTTCTGGAGAAATTGTGGTAGCAATATGGAGTTCCTGGTGTATGGTGATTTTACCTAGGGTTCTGCTCCTCCTGCTGGGAGTAATCTGAATCCGTACCTTTTCTTTTCACCCTGCAGGACACCGTTACACTTGTCAATCATGGCCAGAAATGAATATGTGTTTAATCAGCTGCTGCAGTGTAAACAGTACGTAGGGCGACATGGGGAAATGAAAAAGCAGTTGTAAGGGTGGGATTGTGAGTGAAAAATTCTTTTAGAACATCTTTTACTGTTACAAATCTTAAAAGTAAAATAAAAATTCAGAGCATGTAGAGGGAAGAAGCGAGGCTATAGCAGTATAGAGTTGCAAGATTGTATTTGCCGCCCATGTTGCTACCTCATTGCAGGCTGGACCTAGACCTGAAAGACCATGATGGCAGTACAGCGCTGTGGCTGGCAGTGCAGCACATCACGGTGACTGCAGACCAGTCAGTGAACCCATTTGAAGACCTCCCTGTGGTGAACGGGACTTCATTTGATGAAAATAGTTTTGCAGCCAGACTCATTCAGTGCGGCAGCAACACAGATGCGCCCGACACTGCGACAGGTAAAGCGCAGCTCCCCCGAGAGATGCCTTCAGCCCAGGCGGGGAGTCCATGGGGTGCTGTGTGAATGCTTACTTGAGACAGTCTTACTTCGTAGTTCAGGCGGCCATGAACTGACAGGACAGCCCAGGCTGATCTTGAGCATGGCAACGATCAGTGAAAGTTTAGGAGCAAATGGCATAAGAATTGATCTACTTGTTTACTTAGTGGGACTAGGGATTGAACCCAGGTGCTTGCCCTTGTTGGGCAAGAACCTCTACCACTGATCTACACCCCAGCCAAGAATTACTTTGTGCTTAATCCTAAATATGGTAAAAGCTTAGGTTGTAATTTTTTTCCATTAGTTGTTTGAAGTATTTAAACAGCTTAGCCAGATACAGTCTTTAAACTGGAATACTTGTTTCTATAGTGAGGTGCTTTTGGAGACGTTTAAGACTCAGAACTCGTTTTGCCCTCTTAACAATTATAGTTCAAGGTGGGCATAGTGGCACAAGCTCATAATCCCAGGACTCTGGAAGGCAAGAGGACTGCAAGTAGGAGCACAGCCTGTGCAGCTTAGAGCCATAGGGAGACCCGTCTCAAAAGGAAAGCTAATTGTGCCGAGAGGTAGTTCAGCGCAGAAACCCTGGGCTCAGTCTCTGGGAACCATAAGAGGCAGAAAGCAAGCTTATGCTAGTGATGGTGTGACATGCACCTGTACAGGCAGCACTTGGGAAGCTGAGGCAGGGAGTCTGAGGCATGGAGAGTTTGAAGCCAGCTTGGACCGCGTACACCCTGTTTCAGAAGAGAGGAGGGTGGGGAGAGGGGGAGGGAGGAGGGGAGGGGAGGGGAGGGGAAAGAAGGAAGAGAGGATAGGAGAGAAGAGGAAGGGGAGAGGGGAAGAGAGGATAGCAGAGGGGAGGAGAGGAGAGGAGAGGAGAAAGAAGAGAGACTTTTTGGCTCATTGTGCTTTGTGTGAATCACTTCTCCATGCATGATTTTAAAACATGCCTTAGGCATTTGGAAAATAGATTCATGGAGTTAACCCAGATCTCCCGAATGTTTACACACCTTAGAATTACATTTATATCACCACTGATCAATTAGAAGAGAGTTTCTGTATTGAGAATGTATCAAACTGAGGGTTGCAGAGAAAAGTTTGCCGAAATTTTCATTTTCATGCGAACACTTGTATTTTACCATTGGGTACAAAAATCGTTAATTGTTTTTTAATTTTTCTCACATGACAGGCTTCTTTTGTTCATTTTCAAGAAAATATTTTTCAAATATTCATGTTTTAACAATAATGTTATATTAATTAGTCACTCTACTGTTCTATGAGAAAAGCCCTAATTCAGCTTACTACTTAATGGCATAAAGTACTTTGGTATAGTATGTAGCAACAGCTTTATGCATGCTTGTTACTTTGACACATAGAATTTTTCAAAGACATGTACTCAGTGTTGAGATTTAATAAAATCAGTAATTTTTACTGATTTATCACGGACCATCAGAAGAGAAACTGGCTTTTTTTTGCTCCCTAACCTACTAGTATGCTTTGATTCCATAGAGTTGATTTGTGTTAAGGCTGTGCAGTTTGCTTACACTGTTACTTTTGCACTATCAGTAGACGTGCTAAGACAGTGGGAAAGAGGCAAGTAACAGTGTAGGAGGAGAATAGTTCTAACCTCATGATCACCCTGAAAGAGTCCCAGGAATCCACGGCCACACATACAGACCCTGAGAACTATTGTTTTAATGTATTTCTTTGATCTGGTTGAACAGAAATATTTTAAGGATATATGAGTTCCATATATTTTAAGAATATATGAGTTCCATCATTCAGTATTATTAGCAGTGTATAAAGCATGAGAATTGACCCCCACTCACTCACCCAATAGAAGATGGATAGTGACCTCTTTGCTAAAGAAATTAATAATTAACTTTAAATAAATCTTAGGGGCTGGAGGGTACAAATAAAGGTTAAGGTGGTGGCCAGTGGGAAACCAGTGGTTCCATCTCTAGTACTACCAAAAATCTAAATACTGTCCTAAATGACCTAAAAACTAAGGGCAGTAAAACCACGGGTGTCTTAGTTACTTTTTACTCATCGCTGAGACAAAATACCTGAAGCCCGAAGTTGGGAAAGGAAAGGTTTATTTCCTACAGTTTTTGGAGGTTTCAGTCCACACTCAGTTGGCTCCAAGGCAAGCGGGCATGGCTGGGCCCAGTTCATGGCAGCTGCAAACAGCAAGCCGGAACCAGCAAAGAGCAAGACACACCTTCTTCCTGCCATTACATCGCATCCTGGCTCCACCCCTATGTGGGTGGAGCACTGACACCATCAATCTAAGCACTATACAGTGAACCATCACAAATGAACAATGCAAACTCATGAGGCCTGGGGGCCACAGACATAAACCATGACAACAGGACAGCACTATAGGAAGAACTGACTGAACATTTGTATTGATGAACTCCAAAAGTGCAATTGTTAACTCAGCTTTAAGCTACAGATGTATATTGATTATTGGCCATAGTTTGATCTCTAATTTAATTGAGGGTTAATATGAGGATATGACATGTATGATTGGTTCTGCGATATTTAAGACTTAAATTCATGAGCCGGGCTTGGTGGCTCACGCCTGCAATACCAGCACTTGGGAGGCTGAGGTGGGAGGATCATTGCGAGTTTTCGAGACCAGCCTGGGCTACAAAGTGAGCTCAAGGCCTGCCTGAACTGCACAGTGAGACCCTGTCTCAAAAAAGACCCCCAAAAAAAGACTTAAATTCATGGTCTTGGCATGCTTGACAGCCCACCACTACTAAGCTGCACCTCCAGCTCCTGATCTATCAGTTCTAAAATACATGGAGGTTTTCCACCCTCACTGTCATTTCTACGTTACCTTAAGTTTTAATTGTCAAATACATACAGACTCAAACCTACTTTTTCCTGTTGATTTGTGCCATTTCTCATTTTACCTATAGTAAGCTTAGTTCATTGGTTTTCAACAGTTTGGTAATATTTTAGGAGTCACGAATTAATTTTTTCTACAAGGAGGTGTAGTTTAAGACTTGTGTCACAGAATGACTGCAGAAGTGAAAATGGGACTCTTGGGAATCTAGTTCAAATGACTTATCAACTAGAGGTGAATCAGTGTCTCGGAATATTAAAAACGGCATGCACAATGGCATCAACACAGTAGTCCATTTCTTTCCCTTATTTTTAATCCTAGTATTTAACTTATTTTCATTTTCAAATAGTATAGCTATTGGACATGAGATTTAAGTTCATTTTTGGAAGTGGAATTTATTTTTTTGGTACCAACCAGGGATTGAACTCACCACCTCGCGTTTGCCAAGCGGGCACTTATGCTGCTGAGCCAAATCCCCGGCCCCTTTCAAAGTGGATTTTAAAAGACTGAGAAACACTATTCTAGGGCTAAAACTATTTCTGGGGAAATTTTCTTTTTCTTTCTAAGACTTTTATTTACCAAAAGATGAAAATGCTAAGCAAAATCTCTCTAAGCTAAGAGCAAGCATGTTTAAGGGCCTAGAAATAAAACTGAAGTATTTAAGGGGCACTTTATGATAGAACTTCAGCTTATAAATGTTTTTGAAGTAGTAATCCAGCTAAGTGGTTCTCAGCCAGGAACAGTTTTCACCTCCAGTCCCACTGTGCTCCAAACATGTGGCAGCGTCTGTAGACACTTTTGTTTGCCACAAATTCAGCTGGCCCGCTGGCACCTAGTGGGTAGAATCCAGGGATATTTCTAAACATTATATAGTGTCCAAGACAGGACCCCATAGCAAAGAATTATTCTACCCAAAATGTGAGTTCCATCACTGTTGAGAAACCTTGCTCTGACCAAACCTTAGCAATGAGACATTACTTCCCTATGGTCCTAGGCAGTGGCCAGCTGGAAACCTGGGGGAGAATCGACATTTCAGCTTATGGTCTTCCCTAGGATCAATGTCCACATATAGATGGTGCCTAGTCTCTGGCATGGGCTGACTAGCATACAGTGATGGGGGGAAGGGTGGGTGTGGTATGGTGGGGAACTTGACCTCATTTTTATGCAAATAGAAGAATGAGCATTCACATTTTCTTCTAGGAAATTGTTTACTACAGCGGGCAGCTGGAGTGGGAAATGAGGCAGCAGCTCTTTTCCTGGCAGCCAATGGTGCCCGTGTCAACCACAGAAACAAATGGGTAAGTGTGACAGGACAGGGCAGGGATGTGGTTTAGTTCTGGAGAAGAAACTGGTGGGTGTGTAGGAAAAGTGGAATAGATTCTTTTTTCTTTTCTTTTCTTTTTTAAATAATTTCTGTGACCATGATCCATACATATGGTTAGGAATGTTGGCATACTACTGTAATCCTAGCACTTGGAAGGCTGGGACAGGAGGATCCCTGCAAGTTCAAGGCCAGCCTAAACTGCCTAGTGAGACTCTTGTCACAAAACAAAACAACAGAGTAAAATAGACTCTATAAATTCTTTTTTTAAAAGCATCATGCTTTATTGTGAAGAGCACCAGAAAATGGTTGAATAATAAAATAATGTAGCCACTACCCAGATGTATCTACAGTCGTGGAAGTGGTTACATCAAAAGTATAAATAGTTGGCAACCATAAATAAGAGGAAACTGTAAAGAGAGTTACCAAAATAAATTCTTTCGTGTATTCTCAAATGTTGGTTCATTTAGCAACCGTTTCTGAAGTAATCGTATATATCAAGCCTCAAACTAAATACTGTGGACTTTATAATCTAATAGAAATTAGCAGACATATGCCGAAATCTACCATAATAGCTTCTTGTTTGGTCTTTGGTTTTCGTGTGTGGTTGCTCATTCACTACTTTTCTCAAACTAACAAGGTAGACTGCACAGTAGGGATGTTCCCCTTATCCATGATTTCACTTTCAGCAACTTGAATTACTGAAAACTATGGTCTGAAAATGTTAAATGGAAAATTCTAGAAGTAATTGAAAAGTTTTTAAGTTGCTTGTCATTCTGAGTTGTGTGATGAAATCTCGTGCTGGCTTGCTTGGGAGGTGAATCATCCCTTTATCCTGCATATCGGTGCTGTATGTACCACCTGCCCCTTAGCTACTCAGGTGTCACAGTAGCATAGTTTGCAACCGGGGAGTGATCCCACGACCAAGTGCTTGCAAGGCAGATGCTTATGCTGTTGAGCTAAATCCCTGGCCTCTCAACTAACTTTTATGTAATAACCTAATACAGTATCACAATGCCTGTATCATTCATCTCTTCAGATAGGCATTGTGTCATTTCACATAATCCCAAGAAACATGAAAACAGGACAAAGAATATTTTGAGAGACCACATTCACGTAACTTTATACAGTCTATTGTTACAGTTTTTTTTTATTGTTATTATTTTAATGCCCTCTGCCTAATTTATAAATTAAACTTTGCCATAAGTATGTGCATGTAGGAAAAAACATGGTATGTATAGGGTATATATGCTTTCAGTTATTTTGGGGGAAGAGGAGCTTGTTTTAGAACGCATTGAGATCACTTTTATTTTATTTTATTTATTTTGAGCCAGGGTCTCACTATGTAGTTCCGGGTGACCTTAAACTCTCTAAGGAGCCCAGTCTGGTCTCCAACTCATAATGACCCTCCTGCTGCATCCTCCAGAGTGTTGGGATTACAGGCATGTGCCACCATACCTGGCCACATTTATTTTACAACTTTTATATTAGGAACTTTACTTCTAGAAACAACATGTATTGTTGCATAACCAGGATTGAAGAGCCGATTCTCACATTTTTCAGAGTAGATGATGGTAGGGGTTAGGAGTCTCATAAACATTGAAGCCAGGATGAGACCTGGATACTAGCTTATGTACTTACACACGGTCTCAGCAGCGCTGGGCAAGGCATGTGTAATAAACCTCTTAACTGAGACATCCCAGTATCTGAGGACACAGAAGAGAAATCTTTGCTGTCCTTGTCTTCATCAGATGTGCTAATCTGTGTGCACACATGGTCTAAATTCATGTGAATTCTTAGAATATCTCTCTACTCATTAGAGGCTGTTTCTGTTTTCATTTATTTGTTTTTCCAGGGTGGAACCCCGTGCTGTAGGCAAGCTCTCTTCATACTGAGCTACAATCCATTTTTTTTTTCCCTTTCAATGCTAGGAATTGAATCTAGTGCCTTGCACTAAGCTATATCCTTACCCCTTTATTTTTTATTATGAAATAAGGTCTTGTTAAATTGCCTGGGCTAGTCTTAAATTTAAATTTCTTCTGCCTCAGCCTCTTGAATAGCTGGAATTAAAGGCATGTACCTTTTGTCTGGCCTCCCTCCCCCGCTGTGCCTTTTTGGACTCTGCCTTTTTTTTTTGGTACCAGGGATCCAAATCATGACTTTGCGCTTGCCAGGCAGGGGCTTACGCTGCTGAGCTAAACCCCTGGCCCTGAACTCTGCTATTGTGTGTCTGTCTTTATCTTTCTCGCATCATTAATTTTGCCCACTCTTCATTTCTTTCTTTCTTTTTGGTACCAGGAATCAAACTCATGACCTCACTCTTGCCAGGCAGTTGCTTGTGCCATGGAGCCAAACCCCTGGCCCTCACTCTTTATTTCTAATAGTGTAGAGACATGCTCTGTCTCCTAACTGAGAAACCTTCCAGGAGCTCGTATTATATACGACTTCTTAATCCTTCTCTGATATCGTCTTAGCAAAACTAGATAAAACCCATGACAGAGAGGCACTGGGGACAGCTGACATGAAAGCTGGTGAGAGGCACGCAGGACAAAAAGCCTGGAGTGCTGGTTAAGACATGTGGGCTTCATCACATGGATGAAGACCCCGTTGAGAAACAGTGTGGCATTTTGGAGGTATGAGATTGCTGGCTGGGGGTGCTGGCATGGTGAGTGAGGTACTGAGTCCAGATGTGGCCAGGCGGGAGTCCCCTAACAAGCAGGGACTTGCTGTGACCTTGCATGCTGGATGCAGAGCCAAGTCAACAGGTTGTAGAGGAATTACAGAATTCCAGGCAGCAGACCCATCAGCCTACACCTTGTAGAAGCAAGGGCAAGAGAGGTGTGGCTGGGGGGTTAGCTCAGTGGCACAGGTACCTGATGGCAAGTGTGAGGTCATGAGTTTTAGCCTCAGTACATAAACAAAAACAAAAACAAAACTTTTGGTGGGACCTGGCCAGGAGGAAGAACTGGAGTGGAATAAATCCCATTGCGGTTATTGAATTCTTTCTAAACATTTAGTGAGGATGTCTAGCTGACAGACCTGGATCTGCAGATACTGGTGGAAGCCATGGGAGTCCATAAGCGCCCTGGGTGAGAATGTGTCAGAACAGGGAAAAGAATGGTACGATCTTGCTCTTTTTCACAAAAAACCTTGTAGAGCCATGGATTTAGCTCAGCAGCATAAGCACCTATCTTGTAAGCACATAGTTGTGAGTTCAATCCACGGTAACAACAAAAAAAAAAAAAAAAAAAAAAACAAAAACAAAAAAACCCCAAAGCCCTTGTAGAGTCCTTAATTCCATGATGATGATTAGTAAGAGAAAGTCCAGAGCAGTATGTTCAGTTTGTTTCCATTTGTTTACATGAAAAAGATCTATCATAAGCCAGGTGTGGTGGCACATGCTTATAATCCCAACACTCAGAAGGCTGAGGCAGAAGGATCCTTGCAAATTTGAGACCAACCTGGGCTACTAAGTCAGCTTAAGTCCAGCCTTAACTGTGTAGTGAGACCTTGTCTCAAAAAGACAATAAAAGGAAAAAAAAAGATCCATCATATGTGTTGATGGACTTAAACATAAACATGAGGACACGTATACATGTGTGTGTTGTTTCCTGCAAATACTCCATTATGGAGAGAAATGTGAAAATGGTAATCCTGGTTCCTTTAAGGCACATTATTTTTGTGTGCTGGGGGCCAGGCATAGTAGGAAACTTGCTTTCACTGTGTAGTCTTAAGTTTCAGAGGTGGGGGGAGGTGGTTCTTTATATTAGAGTTCAAACTGTGATTGACTCGAGCAGGGGAAGGAAATGGGGTGCAGTGCTCGGGGAGCTTTCGAGTCTGCAGTGGGGTCTGGTCAGCCTTGACAGCTGGTCAGGTAAGGCTGTAAAAGGTTCAAGTCCTGCACCTGCTCCTGATTATCATCAGCTCCTTTGCTTGAGTAGATATGAGGTGAAACACCAGGAAACCAGACCAAGCTGTGTTAGATGGTTGGGTGCACAGAATGTCACTGACAGAGAGGAAAAGAGAGGAGAGGAAAGGGTCGGGTGGGAAGGTGTGAATGGGAGCACAAGCTGTAATCCCAGCACTTGGAGGCTGAGACAAGAGGACTGCCCAAGTTAGAGGTGAGCCTGGGCTACGTAGTGAATTCAAGGGCAGCCTGACCGCATAGCAAGATTCTATCTCAAAAAGTATTTAAAAAGGAGGAGGAGGAGGAGAAGGCAAGATGGAGGGATGGGGAGAATGCTGCTAGTGGAGAATCGGCCAGATTGTTAACCCTATGTATTTCTGGGGTCACTCTGTTTTGAGAAAGTTGGTCATTGTTACTTTATAATAATCACTATGTGTTATCTTTATAATTAGAAAAAAGTTACTACGAAAACAAAGTGAAGGGTGGAAAAAGAGCTCACAGGAAGAAGATGGGAAGCCAGGGCATTTGGGAGGCACTTGGGAAGACACTGAAGGACTATGGGGATGGATACAGGTGACAGGTGATCAGAGTTACTCAAGTGAGTCAGGTATGATACACGACCATGCCGCATACTCTAGGAGGTTGAGGCAGGAGGATCGCAAACTGAGCCCATGCTGGACTACTTAAGCAATATAGTAAAACCTACTTGAAAATTTAAAAATGAAAAAGTGCCAAGGATGTAAAGCAGTTCAGAGGTCCTGGATTCAGTCCCCATTACCACCACTGTCACCACCTGTGTGCACATTACACCATGGATATACTGACAGGACGAATGAATGGCTTACTGGCATGAGCCAAATTGTGGTTGATGACAGGAGGAGCCACCCATGGCTGGCACTAGGGCCTAATTTTGGCACTGGTGCAGTCTCCCTGTCTTTATGAAGATGCTCAGGTCTGGGCCATCTGTTTGCATACAGGGAGAAACTCCACTGCACACGGCTTGTCGGCATGGCCTGGCCAACCTCACAGCAGAGCTGCTGCAGCAAGGTGCCAACCCAAACCTGCAGACGGAAGAGCCTGTGCCCTTCTCAAAGGAAGCCACGTCCCTGGGTGGCTCCGTGGACAGTGTCTATCTGCAGACACCACTGCATATGGCAATTGCCTATAATCACCCAGACGTGGTGTCGGTCATTCTGGAGCAGAAAGGTAAGTAGCGGGGAATTCAGCCTGTCACTTTGACTTCTGGACAGCAGTGTAGGGTAGCTAATTACAAAACTGTTTTGGCTCTTGTTGGTGAGCTGCTTACTGAAAGCATTCGTTTAGAGCAAACTAGATGAGAACAGGGCTCTGAACTACCCATCTCCTTGTGTACTCGGAGAGCAGGACTGCTTGTGTCTGGTCCGGTGAGGCGTGAGAAGGAACGTGGGGCTTGCTCTGGCTTGTTCAGAATATTTTCCAGGCCATCTCAGAGCAGGTGGAGCAAAACTTGCCTTGGTAGGAGCATGTTTTTGAGAACTCTGCTGTGGCACGTCTGTCACAAGCCAGTCAATCCTTTCGTCCGTCTCTGCAGACCCTGGAGGTGACCCACTAGTTGGAGCATTGTGGGAGGAGGATGCCCTGGAGCAGACAAGGCCCACTTCCTTTAGAAAACATCCTCCTCAGGCTTTTTCTGTCTTTCCCTGAAGTTTGTTTTACTTTTGCCTCAGTTTTCAGAAGTCCAGCACTTTTTAGCACTGTGCATCTAGACAGAAAGAAGAAAGGTTGTAGGTAAAATGTGGCTTTTTCTGGGTCCTTACAGGACAGGTTTGTAGGATTTAGAACATTGTCAGAGCATTATTTTAATCTTCTGTGTAGTAGTTGTGTGATAAAATTACGTTTCCATAGTGGAGTTGGGATTCCTTATGCAAAAAGTATTTTAAATTTTTTTTTGGTACTGGGGATTGAATTTACGACTGTGCCGCTTGCAAGGCAGGCACTTATGCCACTGAGCTAAATCCCCAGCCCTATTTTAAATTTTTGATGTTTTTTGTTTTTGTTTTGAGACAAGGTCTTGCTATGTAGTTCAGGCTAGTCTTGGACTTATAGTGACCTTCCTACGTCAGCCTCCCAAGTGTTAGGCTTACAGGGATGTGCCTCCATGCCCTTTTTTTTTAACCAGTTTTAAGTTTTTTTTGTTTGTTTGTTTTTTGAGATAGGGTTTCATCATGTAGTTCAGTCTGACCTTGAACTCAGTGTGTATCCCAGGCTGACCTCGAATTCATAGGGATCCTCCTGCCTCAACCTCCGGAGTGCTGGGATTATAGGCGTGCACTATCATGCCTGAGTTAAATTTTTTTTTTAACTTTGTTTCCCCATGTACACTTTTTTTTTTAATCGGTATGGGGATCAAACTGAGGACCGCATGCTTGCAAGGCAGGTGCTTATGCCGCTAGCTAAATCCCCAGCCCCTCCCATGTAAACTTTTTTGCAAAGTCTTAGATTTCTGGAGTCCTAAAAAAGACTTTTCTTTGAATAGCAAGTTAGTCAATTTGATACTGAATTCTTGCTCTGTTGCATGCTTGAAATATGATCTAAGGGATGGTGAAATTAAGCATTCTTTTCCTTTAAAAACAATTTAGCCAATGCTCTTCATGCTACCAACAACTTGCAAATTATTCCGGACTTTAGCCTCAAGGATTCCCGAGACCAGACTGTGCTGGGCCTGGCGTTATGGACTGGTAAGGCTGGGTTATGGCTGTTGGTGTCTGCAGGCAAATAGGTGTCAGAGTGCAGGTGGGCAGATAAGGGGAGGCGAGTGGGCTAGTCATCTGGTTGTTAGACCACCTTTCTGTGTGGCTGTGATCTAAAACGTCCAGTGGGGAGCTGCTAGCTTTGAGAAGGTAAGGAAGTATAATCGTTTTGGTAAGATTTTGAGGAAGTAGAGGAGCTGAGCATGTGCTAATCAGGGTTGTTTACTTCCCAGGCATGCACACGATCGCAGCCCAGCTGCTGGGCTCTGGAGCTTCCATCAATGACACCATGTCGGACGGGCAGACTCTGCTGCATATGGCCATCCAGCGGCAAGACAGCAAGAGCGCGCTCTTCCTCTTGGAGCACCAGGCAGACATAAACGTCAGGTGGGGTGAGACGTGCCTTCTGTATTAACAGGTAGTCCCAGACCTTGGCCTTGTTGGCAGAAAAAAAGTTTTTAAGAGAGGAAGAGAACTATAAATAAAACAAAATGAGCTTCAAATCATGCTGACAGGGGAGTGACGGTAATTGACACACTGTACGTTATTATCTGGCTCATAGTCACTCAGTACAAAATACAGGCAAGAAGTAAGGGCCAGACAGTGTTAGCACAAATCTTTCTTTTCAGTAAGCCAGGAAAAATTAGCTATGTCCCTGCTTAACTATCTTCTGTATGCCTACCTTAACTATACCTTAACAATGTATATATTGTTTTTCCCTCTTCCTTCTTTCCCCCTTTCCCCTATCAGTTTCTCTTTTCTTTTAGTTTCTTCCAAATTCACAATATCTGTTGTACCTTTTATATCTTATTCATTTAGCTTCTCACATTAGTGAGACAATGCAACGTTTACACATATGGGTCTGATCTATTTCACTTATGAGTATGATACCAGTTGCATCTATTTATCTATAAAAGTCTTGAGTTTATCCTTCTTTATGGCCCAGTAGTACTCACTGTATAAAATCCACATCTTTTTATCCATTCCTCACGCCTGTCATCATGCACTAAGGTAAAATCACAGTGGATCAAAGATGTAAATATTAAAACAGAAGCACTAAATCTGGAGGAAAAAAATAGGTAGTGAGCTTGAAGACACAGATGTAGGCAGAGCCTTCGTGAACAAAGCCCAGACTGCACAAGAAATAATACAAAGAATCAACAACTGGGATCTTACCCTATTAAAAAGCTTTTGCACAACAAAAAAATCACCAACAAGGTGAAAAGGTAACCCACAGAGTAGGAACAAATTACAACCAGTTATTTCTCAGACAAAGGACTTCTATCTAAACCACACAAAGAATTGAAAAAAAATGAGCCCCCCCCCCCGATTTAAAGATGCAATCCAAAAATGGGCATCTGAGATGAATACACACATCTCAGATGAAGAAATGCTTGTGGCAAATAAATATCAGCATCACTGGTCATTCGAGAGGTACAAATCCAGACAACACTGAGAGTCCACCTCTCACTCCAGAAAAAATGGCCATCATCGAGAGATCCACCGGTAGTAATGGTGGTAAAGATGTGGGGAAAGAGGAACCCTTCTTCACTGTTGGTGGGAGTGTAGACTGGTGCAACCACTGTTGAAATGAGTTTGGAGATTCCTCAAAAAACTAGGATTAGATGTCCCGTTCCACCCAGATAGTTCCCTTTTGGGTGTCTTTTCAGAAGAATTAACATTGTACCACAGTGATATATACTCACTCATGTTTATATCTGCATAGTTTGTAATGGCTAGATCTTGGAAACAAATTCAAAATAGAAAATAGTTTTATTATTTAAATTAAGGAATGAAAACGAAGGTTCTAAAACATACATTGCAGGGTTTTTGTTTTCGCTTTTTTGTGTTTTTGAGTCACAGTCTCACTGTAATTCAGGCCAGCCTTGAACTCACTATGTAGTCAAGGCTGGCCTTGAATTCACAGCAACCTTTCTGCCTCAGCCTCATGAGTGTGTGTGCCACTATGCCTGACCACAATTCAGAGTTGTAAACTGAATGTAATCAAACTTATGGGATGGAGGGGGGGAGCTGAACTATCCTTGTTGGAACTTCTCAGAGACAGCGTATACAACTCCACAGATTTCCTTATAATGGACAGTCCAAGATCAGTTCCTAAGTAAGAGTTTCAGTTATGAAGAGTATCCTAGCAGATAAACTTCAGACAGGCTTAGGAGAGAAAAAGATGCAGAGTTAAAGTTTTGCTGTGGTTGGCTTGTCAAAGGGGTTCATCTTTATTCTCAGTGTCACTTTGACCCTACATGATTAGGGCAAAAAAACTTGTCAGGTGGGTAGCTGGAGTGGCATTTTTTTGTGGTGGTGTTTTATTAAGATGCTACTAAAAATCTGTGTTCCTATATGATGCTAGCTGGTTGGGATGCCAACCAGTTACCATCTGGCTACAGTTGGGTAGCTATGTTCTTTTTTCCAAGATTAATTTGTGGTGTAATATAAAACTGAAAGGAAAATCTAATTCCAACTGTCCACTTACTTCAGAAATTCTTAAAGAAGCTAAAGTAAAGATATCTTGGATTTTGTTACTTTTTAAAGTCAAAAACTCCAGCTAGAAATCAGGCAGTGTGGCAGGCCAGGCTTTTGCTCCAGGAGCAACAGAGCCAGGCAGTCTTGATACTGCTGCCTGTGTCCTGGAGCTGCCGGTGGTTGTATTTTCTAAAAGACTGAGGGAACAAACACTGTCGACAGGTTTCATTTCTCTGAGATTTAAGAGAGAGGACTTCCGGGAGAACATGGCGGACAGATAACAGCAACTACCGGAGGCTCTCTGAAAAACTAGGCTCAGAAGCCAGGTATGGTGCGGACTAAAGAGACATAAGCAGGTGGAGTTATGCTGTGCTGACTCAGGAACGAACTCGGCTGAGAGAAACCAACTTGGAATGCAGTCCTGGTGCTAAAACAGGAACAGAAAAGCCTCGCTGCTGAGGCTGGACCCCGCGCCATTGGAAGCCGCGATTTGGGTTTCCCGCCACGCGGTGGCTGGCTGCCTCTACATCAGCTCGGCAAGGATTATACAGATTATACAGAAACTCTGAGTACGGGAGTCTGCGAATGGAGTTGAAAACAAGACAGGCAGGGAGGCATGTTCTGACTTGTGGCGAGGTGAGTGAGAGAAACTGAAACTCCACCACAGTTTGACTCCAGCGGACTTTCTGGGCCCGAGCAGTCCTGCGGGAGCAGGGCGCGGTGGCGACTCCAGCCACACATTCCCCTCTCGGGCGGGATTGGTGAAAAGTGCCTGGCCTGTGTGATGCTGCCTGCGGACCCTGTAGGCTGGCCCAACCCAGATCCCAGAGCCTGACAGAGGCCGGGAGGGGCGGGCCCCGCGTAGGCTGCCTGGTGTGCAGCGGTGAGTGGGAACACCTAACCGGTGCAATTCGATCAGGCTGTGGCTGACAGGGAAAGAAGCTGGGCCTCTCATATAAGCTTGCATATATAAGGAACAGAGAATATGGGAAGAGGCAACAACAAGAAAGGCTCCTCGGCCCCCAATTCTGAGAAACAGGCAATAGCGGACACCGCACCAATAGACATAAAGCGCCATATAGAGAGCCTCATAGACCAATTCAGGAATGAAGTTATCAACGACCTGAAGCTAGAAGTATGCAAAATAGTTAGAGAAATGCTAAGCACCACCCAAGAAAAAATAGATAGTGGAATGGAAGAACAGAAAAAGAGGGGAGAATTGTTTGATGGAGAAAACAGGGAAAGCATAGAATACGTGAAGCAGGTTCAGAGGGACCATCAAGAAACTAAGAAGTCTATCGAAGACTGGCATAACAGCTTGAAAGAAACTAAGGACAGACTATCTGAACTGGAGGACAGAATTGTAATATGGGAGAATGAAATGAAAAACTTCTTTAAAATAACAAAGAAACAAACAGCAATAATACAAAGACAAGAAGATGATAAGAGGATCCATAACTTAAGGATTAAGAACATAAAAGAAGAAGTAGGGACACAAACAAATGAACTACAAAAGCTACTCACAGAAATAATCCAGGAGAATTTTCCTAATTTAGCAAAAGGTAAAGATACTCAGATGTATGAGGCATACAGGACCCCAGCTACCTACAACCCAAACAGAGCAACATCCAGGCATATAATAATAAAAATTCCAGAAATTCAATACAAGAACAGAATATTAAAAGCTGTCAGAGACAAGAAACAGACCACTTACAAGGGAGCACCTATCAGAATTACAGCAGATTTCTCTGCACAAACCATCAAATCACGAAGAGCGTGGGGGGAAATAATTCAAGCTTTGAAAGATAATAATCTCCAGCCAAGATTGAGATATCCTGCACAACTGTCCCTGGAAATTGATGGAAAAACAAGGTGCTTCCAGGATAAAGAGGAACTGGGGGAATTTGCAACCACCAATTCAACTCTACAGAGAGTATTGCAGGATATTCTAAAAAAAGAAAAATACAAAGAATCCAGAAATAGTGGAGGCCACAACGAATGGAGCAGAGAACAAAGTGAAGAAGACAAACTGACAGCTACTGACAGAATAAGAGCTCAACAGAAATGAGGCAGAGAAGATTGGATGATAGGAACAGCTATTTTGGAGAAAATGACATCTTAATAGGTAATACTGATTTAGTATCATCTTGTTTTGAAGTCTCATCTAGCTTTTGTCCTTCTGTCTCCAATGGTCCAAATAGGTTGTATCTTACTGGATTTTATTATGTACGATAGTATAAGTAAGGAGATTATACAGAAACCATTGTTCATTTTCTGTTAGTCGATTCTAAATACTCTGTAATGCTGTCATTCTCTTAAATGGTTTTACATTGTTTTGATATACTTAATGCTACAGTATACGAAGTTGTACTCAAGGATTTCAAGGAAAGAGACAATATGGTAACTACTTTTAGGTCAGGATTATCTGGTGGTGAAACACTATTCTGCTTAAATGGTTATGTTTTGATCTGTGCTGTTTCGTTGTTATGCCCTCTTTTATCTCAATCTCCATTATTTACTTTTTTATTTTTATCCTTTTAATTAAAGGAAAAAAAATAGCAGGATATATTATAGTAACCCACTTTGACTTTCCATTACCTCGATTTGAAGCCCTGTATTACTCTCACCATCTGGTGTTTAACTGATGTTCCCCTATTCTGTTTTGCTGGATAGTATCAGGTTCGAAAATTTAGGCATCAGCTGTGAAGATAATGAGATTCATTATAACGCCCATTCTCGTTGACTTTTATCTATTTTTGAAGACCTACAATGTCTCCAGTGTTTTGGTTTTGTCGGTTTTATTCTTTACTGTTTTGTTCAATTGTATTATAACTAACGATATAGGCAATTCTATTAGAGATAGCGGGAGGCATTATGGTAACCATTGTTGATCACCTTGTATTATGTTTTCACATTATCTATTATGTCCACCCTTTTGACTTGACCGATTCTGTTATGTCACATTTGGTTTTACTCTCTTCCAAAAAAGTAATAAGAACCATGGGAGCAATAAAACCCAAAATGTGTAATAGTCATTGTACAAAAGAGAGGAAAAGAAAGTGCTCTAAACTATATAACTGCATGTATATTTAAGTGTATAAGATAGAAAATGATATCACAGAGTTTTATTGGATCATTGAACAGAACTGTTTGCAGTATCACTGATGGAATGTCCACTTTACAAGCTTTAATTTTGTGACTTGAACAATTATTTCTAAGATGACAATGTGTAATCCATTAACTAGTGATTTTCTACTGTTCATTTTTTTTCTGCAAATCTGTATAACTTGTACCCTTTCTCTGCTTTTTTTTTCTTTTCTCCTTAAATAAAATTTAAAAAAAAAAGCAAAAAATAAAAAAAATTAAAAAAAAAAAGAGATTTAAGAGAGAGAGTAGAAGTAGGTTCCAGAATGCATGGGAGGGCACCCTTCCTTTCTCTAGGGCCCAGCTACCAACTTGGCTTTGGGTTTGGTGTGCATGTCCCAGCAGGACTCAGGATGGGGAGACAGCCCTTCAGCTGGCCATCCGAAATCAACTTCCGCTCGTGGTGGATGCCATATGCACCCGAGGAGCTGACATGTCGGTTTCAGATGAGAAAGGGAATCCGCCACTGTGGCTCGCACTGGCGAATAATCTAGAAGACATCGCATCCACTCTGGTGAGACAAACGGCAAACATGCTGTTTAGCCTGTGCTTATGGGTGAGCATGTTTTGTGTCAGAGATGAATTTGAACCTACATAGCAATCACAGGAGCAAGGGAGCTGCCAAGTAACAAATTGAGTCAGCAACAAACAAAAGTCACGTTAAAAAACTCAGTTCAGCATGGTCTTGGCTAATATTTTTGTTGTGAGGCTGTCTTTATCAAGACCACCAAGAAGCAAAAGAATGGAGGGGTTCCCCCAGCAGTTTTCTCTGGGGTTCTTGATTTGTTTTTTAGTTTTTTTTTTTTTTTTTTTTGTCTTTTTCCTTTTTATCGGTACCAGGGATCGAACTCACGACTGCCTGCTTGCAAGGCAGGCGCTTATGCCACTGAGCTAAATCCCCAGCCCCTTGGGGTTCTTGATTTGTGTGGCTGTCCTGACAGTCACAACAGCAGTAATTCCCTGATCTCAGCTTTGAGTACTGGGTGTGCAAGGCAGGCCCCACAATGGGGTGAACCTTGAAATTTCTCTTCAGCTCTCTCAAGGACTTGCTGTCGGTGTTAAGACATGTCACACTGGTGAGATGGCTGTTACTAAGGTTACCTGTTCATTGCGGTGAAGTGTCCAAGGGTCTTATGAGTCCATGTGTAAACAGGCACCTGTGTCCTCTGTCCCTGGAACAGCACAACTCTATAGACACTGATTAAACATTCCCAAACGCCCCACAAGACCTGGTGCAAGACCTCGCAAAGAACAGAGTTGAATTACTGTTCATAAAACTAATGAATGATGCAGATTAAAGTAATTATCAGTTAAATATCAACCATATCTTACCTGAGAAATGGACCTAGCGATGTACATAAAGCTCAGACTTGTAATAAAAGTTTTTGCTTTTGGTTGACAGTGTTGTGAGAAACTTCTGTTTTTCTGCAGGTCAGACATGGTTGTGATGCCACATGCTGGGGTCCAGGACCTAGCGGGTGCCTTCAGACACTGTTGCATAGAGCCATTGATGAAAACAATGAGTCCACTGCCTGCTTTCTTATTCGCAGGTCCGTGAAACACAAGTATCTCTTGAAATTGTATTTAGCTTATTGCAGACTGGCTCGCTCTTCTGTTGATCCACCTCCAGTGTAGACATGCCTGTGGTCAGCTTAACCTTCAGCCTTCATAATTGAGACCACCAGTGTCAGATTAGACATGTCAGCTCAGTCACGGGACTGGCTCAGCTGTGAGAGGAGGGGCTTGTAGGCCCGAATCAAAGACTGTAAAAAATCGGGCTCGTATCCTGCTTGGGAAACTTCATGGCTCCTGCAGTCACACCAGACCAGTTTGCACTGCAAAGCCAAGAGGCCGGAGCAAGGGAGACCAGATGACATGTGTTTGCTGCCACCTGGATGCATGTGCCATAACAAATCCTGTGCCCCTGTGTGTGGAATATGTGGGAAGCCAAGAGATACAGGGAGTCTTTAGAGTGGTGCTCCTCAAACTTAAATATTTACATATTTCCAAAGGAGCTTGTAACTGTTCTGATCCCAGGTTGCCCCAAAGACTAGTTGTAAAAGAATCTATGGCAGTGGGACTTCCATTCCAGTATTTGAGATCAGGGACCTAGGATACCAGATTCTGGCACCAGCAGCTTTTTTGCTGGGTGCTGGAGGCTCCTTACCTGTAGGCCAGGTGGTACATGGTCTTCCTTCTGTTACTTCCTTACTTTTAGTGGCTGTGATGTAAATAGTCCAAGACAACCAGGTGCTGATGGAGAAGGAGAAGAAGAAGCCAGGGATGGGCAGACTCCTTTGCATTTGGCAGCCTCATGGGGCCTGGAAGAAACAGTGCAATGTCTTCTGGAATTTGGTGCCAATGTAAATGCACAGGTATTAAGTTTCTCTTTTCCACTGAGTTTGATGCTTACACACAGTTAGGGAACTCTCTTGTGGGAAGGGACTTTGTGGAGTCACCTGTTGCAGGCCTCTGGTTTACCATGAACAGAACTTTGGTATGACAAATGAATTATGCAGCCTGTCTAACAATTGAGATTATTTCAATTAAAGTTTTCGTCTTTCTGCGTTGGTCCCTAAACACCATGAGAAAGGTTTGTTTTGTCTGTTGTCCTTTGTCACCTGTTCCCGTATTAGAGATTTTCTCTGAAACAGGTTAGGCCCAAACCAAGTGTGGGGTTCAGGACAATGTGCACTGACTCAGTTGAGTACCCCAAGTTCTGCTCCTTGATGCTTTACAGCATTCTAGCTTGGGAAGATTCGTATCTAATGCTCCACAGTCAGATAAAGAGTGATGGGCCTAGAGCAGAGAATGCTTGCAGGGCTTCTAGAGCAAGTACGTTTAACAGCACTGGGCCACTGTTGGCACCACAACACGGGAGTGTTGTGTAATAGAAAGCTGTTTCTGGGACCGGGGATTTAGTTTAGTGGCATAGGCTCCTGCCTTGCAAGCGTGGTCACGAGTTCGATCTCCGGTACCAATTAAAAAAAAAAAAGCAGCTTCCAGTTAGTTTTGTGTTTCGCCATCTACAAACTAATTTCAAACACAGGTTAAAAATGTTTATTCTCATAATCAAACTTCACCCAAAAGTTACTGTCTTTGTATTTTTCTTGATTTTTATCTGTCAATTTGAGCTGAAATCTTGTTCTCCTAGGATGCAGAAGGAAGAACGCCTGTCCACGTGGCCATCAGCAACCAACACAGTGTCATCATTCAGCTGCTGATCTCTCACCCTGATATCCACTTGAATGTACGAGACAGACAGGGCCTGACCCCCTTTGCCTGCGCCATGACTTACAAGAACAATAAGGCAGCCGAGGCCATCCTCAAACGCGAGTCTGGGGCTGCTGAGCAGGTGAGTGAGTGGCGCTTGGCACTCTCCAGAGCAGGATTCTGAGGTGGAGGTAAGACAGATGGCAACGATGAGCGGGACCCGTCTATCCGGAGACACTTGTCCTTAGGGTATGCGTCCCTTTCCTAGAACTTGGCCTCGGTTGTCCTGTCAATGCTAAGAAGTGACTGTTTGCGTGTAGGCCACCTAATGATGCCTTCTTAGACGGAAATGGGCATCATCAGAGAGTATAAAATCTTCATGAATGGAGATACTCACTGCACATCTCATTCTCTGTCTAGGACTTGGAAACTGTTGATCCAGGTCCTTACAGATACATTTTACATTAGCAAAGCCTGTGGACCCGTGTGTGTGTGTGGGGGCAGGGCACTAGTACTTGCTGACATGTGGCATCTCCCTGACTTGCACCTGAGCACTCACACTAACGACAGCTGCTGTTCTGACAGTCACAGTGTGGTTCCACCTGAGCAACGTGACAGCAGTGGACCCAGGTCTTTGGCATGCTGCTGACTGCCTCTTTCGAGCTCAAAGGAAGAAACGTCCCAAAGTGGTAGCATTTAATGTTGGCTGTTGGGCAGGAACTTCTGGAACAAAGGAAAGGATTACTTTGCGACTTTTCCCATGATTCTTGCACCCAGCAGAAGTTTAAGAGTCATTCTTTAAAAGGAACCTGCTAATACTTTGATTCTGATTTATTGCCTTAGGTGGATAACAAGGGCCGGAATTTTCTTCACATAGCAGTTCAGAACTCTGACATTGAAAGTGTCCTGTTCCTAATCAGTGTCCAGGCTAACGTGAATTCCAGAGTCCAGGATGCTTCCAAGTTGACCCCTTTGCACCTTGCCGTCCAAGCAGGCTCAGAGATTATTGTCCGCAATTTGGTAAGTGAGGCGGAAGCACTGTTACATGTGACACACTGTTGGGGGTGCACAGGCTTCCCCTCACAGGTGTTTCACCAGGTACTGGGGAAGGCCAGTGTCAGCGCATTCAGGAAGCACAGTTTGTTGGTGGGAGGTTGAGTGTGGTGGCAGAGGTGGGTCTGAAGGCTCCAGGTGCTGCCACCCTTGAGGGAGCAGCCAGGAGGTGGGATGGTCCTCGAGGGGTGGGCAAATAGCCCTGTGTGTCGGGACCTGGCCTCGAGCCCCAGTCTCCCAAAGGAGTGTGTGGTGAGGGCTGAATTAAGTGAGCTAAGCGGTGTGATGTCAGGGCTCCAGGAGGACAGCCTTCCGCAAAGTTTGGGACTCCGTGGCTAAGGCAGGGCTGCCTCTGGGCAGCCTCCGTTTATTTTTTCCAAACAACTAGGTAACTGAACAGACCTTGGGAATGGTTCAAGGACTTTGCAAGTAACAAATTGTGCTAACAAGGACAAGTGTCTTAGGAGAAACTCTCCGTGTTGCATTTCACTGTGGGGGGGAACTGCCTGTGGCTAGTCTTTATTCAGTTAACTGGAGCAGAAGCCAGGTGTCCTCAGCTGTCATCTCTCCCCAGCCATGCAGCAGCCTACACGTGTGTTCAGTTTTCAGTTTCTGCGGCTCCCGACACTCATGTGTGTCAGGCAGTCCCCACCTCAGAGTCTGGGGGTTTAAAGGCCTCCTCCAAGGTTGTTCTGTGCTTCCTGAGGGCGGCCCTCACGGCAAGAAGGCTGCCAGATCGTGGCTGGCTTCTCACACACCACCTGTGTGCCCTTCCTCCCTGAACTGGTGCCACTGGGTGTCTGAAGGTGCTCACACTGAGTGATGTCGCACTGACCTGCGTGGCTCCTTCCCTGCTTGCTGTGGTTGTGATCCCTAGTTCAGCACTAGTAACTGTGACTATACCTCTGTGTTCATATCCACCTATGATGTCTTGTCTCTATGCGACTGGGCACCCAAGGCTTGGGGGATCAGATTCAGAAGTCTAGGGGGGAACAGGAGCAGCGACTGGTGCTAGGCTGTCCCAGCGTCAGGTACCTGTGTGCACAGAGGAACCGAGGGTGATTGCACACCTCAGGAGCTGCACACTGAGCTGACTGCAAACTGCCGGGTATTTTTATTAATAGCAACTCTCTCTGAAACTGTCAGAAAGAGGATGCTGGATGAACTTGAGATACTAAATGAATAGTCAAGATATTACTTAAAGGCTCTTTATTTTAAAGAGGGAAAAAAAAGCCAATTAAAATAAACCAGAATAAGTTATACAGCATTTCAAAATCTTATGAAATCAGCAATAGTTACCATAATGCCTTTGTTGTCTTCCAAATAGCTACAGATACTTTCACACATAGTAAAAATCAAACAGCACAGAATAGAATAGAAACAATAAAAACAAAACAATGAATGCAATAAATGACTTCGAAATAAGCTAACAGTAAATCCAAAATGGCTACTGCATCTTGCTATCTTTTAAATAGCTTCTCCTGCCATCAGACAAACAAAAGAGAATAAAGCCCAACCCAAGAAAACAATGAAAATGATGTGGTTTCCAGGTGGGGATCACCTCCTTGAGGCCTGGTTCTCTCCCCAGGGTCCGAGAATGGCTTCTTTTTGCTTTTGATTCTGTCATTCTTTGTGGTCTTTGTTTTACAGAATATACACAGTACTGCTTTGTGGGAGAATTAAAACCCCTAAGGGAAACAGTATTTCTCTTTCCCTCCCTACTCTCCTCTGAGTCTAATACATACTTAGCTGCTAATGTTGGTATTTTGCTTGGAGAATGTCATCCCTGGGCATTTTTGTCCTTAGGCCAACTTCACAGAGCATGCTGACCCACAAGACAGCTGCAAGGTCTTTAGGCGACAAAACTTACCCAGGGTCTCACCACCGTGTGTATGGCCTGTGACTGACCACGGTGTCGTTAGCAGCATGTGACCATCTATGCTTTTAAACATAGCTGAGTTGGGTGTCCCTCTGTGTGTGTGCACTCGCGTCTCAGTCTCTCTCCAGATGGAACCTTGCCGTCTGCTAGTGTACTTTTTATTTTCAAGAGCACAAATCCACATTTGCTTGTTACGTCACAGCCTTGAAGGGATGAGCTGGGCGGTGGGCATAGCAGACATGGTCTTCACAATTCCTGGGAACCACGCCACTGTCCCATGGACACAAGTCACATTTCCCTAGGTGGCTCCGGTGTCTTCAGTTTGCCTCAGATATCACTTTTCTTTGTACATATAAGTGCATCGCCTTCACATTTTTGTTTACGGTAGTGGGGATTGAACCGAGAGCCTTTGCCCGAGATTCCCTAGCCCTTGTGTTAGTCTTGAGACAGAGTCATGCTGACCTGCCAGCTTGCCGAGGCTGGGAATTTGCAGGCATGTCTCTGCCCACTGGACTGTTGGGACGAGTGGGTGGGCACGTACCACCCCATGAGGCGATGCCTTCAGTTCTAAGAAGGAATGGTACCCCCTTCGGCTGCAGACTCCAACAGACAGGGCCTTTGTCCTTCCAGACATTTGTTCTTTAGAAGTCCCATTCCTGGCAGACCCTACCACTCCAAAATGGAGAGAACTGGCTTGGTTTTTTAAAACTTAATGTATCATCAACATCTTTCCTATTAATCCATATATACTTATCATCTTAATGGCTGTATTGTTTTATCGTTCGACTAAAGTATAATTTTTTTAATAACCTTGCCTTTCTTGTGATTGGGCTTTTCCAGTAAAAGCAGTAAACAACCATATATAACATAGTGAATATCCCGCCGGCCTTGGTAGTATTACATACCAGTATCCTAGGAGAATTTCTACAGCTGAGGAACAGTCTTTGCCACTTGGTAGGTAGGTGCTGCTCTGCCCTCAGCACAGAGTTGGCTGGTTTTGCCTACCAGTAGTATGTGTAAGGTCCTCAGCAATGGCTGTGCCAGCATGGCAGACTGCCAGCCTTGGTGAACTCAGAGGATAGGCAGGGGGTCCCATTAGGACTGTGGCTGTGTTAGAAAGCCTGCTCAGCAGTCAACCCTAACAGCTTCTTGCAGGAGCCAAGGTGAATGAGTTAACCAAGCACCGCCAGACCGCCCTCCACCTTGCTGCACAGCAGGACCTGCCGACCATCTGCTCCGTCCTCCTGGAGAATGCAGTGGATTTTGCTGCTGTGGATGAAAATGGAAACAATGGTAACTTAAGTGGTCACTCTGCGCAGTGCTGTGCTCAGTGAACAGGCTCTCTTGTCTGAGAATGGGGTGCACTGCATCCTTGGCTCTGCTCCTTCTCAGGGAGGATGTGTGACAGGAAGCGCTCTGGACAGGGCATGCCTCTTTCCCTGACCAGGTCTTAAGTGGCTCCCCAGCCTAACTGGTAACTCTGGAAGCCTAAGGCCGCTTCTTGTAGCTGGCCATGGTGGTATGTGCCTGTAATTTCAGCACTTGGGAGGCCGAAGCAGGAGAATTACCATGAGTTAAGGTCAGCCTAGCTCCATAGCAAATTCAAGGCCAATCTGAACTATATATATAGTGAGACCCAGTCTCAAAACACAGCATAGGTGAGGGAGCTCCTCATGAAACTGTTAAATCTCATCTTTGGAGCTTCTGAAGCAAGAAGCAAAGGTTTTTGAGATTGTATGTGTGACTCATTAGTGAAAGGTAGTAAAGATAAGAAGGACTAGCTCTGAGCAGGCCAGCTATTGGTGTGACCTGAGTCCCAGTTAAAGGGCGTTGGTGAGGGTGAGGAGGAACTGAGACATTTCTGCCTGTGCTTCTGGGCTTGTACAGTAAGAGGATTTACTCCCCAGCTCTTCACCTCGCGGTCATGCATGGTCGGCTCAACAACATCCGGGTTCTCCTGACAGAGTGCACAGTGGATGCCGAAGCCTTTAACCTGAGGTGAGTTGTTCTGTCCAGAGCAGAGATCAGAACTCTGGGTCAGCCAGCTGCTTCAGAGATGGTAGTAAGTAGTGCCTCTCTCAGCACGCTGCAAAACTGGACTGGCTTTTGGTTCCCTGGTATTTTTAGATCAGTAAAAAATACTTTTTAGAAAAGGTGTTATGACCTGCTAACTGTCCTTATAGATTTACCCTGCATCACAGAGTTCAGAGAAGTCCTTGCCTTTGTGATGGCGACGGTAGGTGCATATGCCTTTCCCCATTGTTCCATCAGAGGCCAGTCACCGCTTCACATTCTGGGGCAGTATGGCCGAGAGAATGCGGCCGCCATCTTTGACCTTTTCCTGGAGTGCATGCCCGAATACCCTCTGGATAAGCCGGACTCGGAAGGAAACACAGGTATGTGCTCAGTAGTCGTGTGTCCTGTCTCATTACATGCCTCGCTCCCTGGAAAAACAAGGTCACTCTCTGCGGGCACACAGCTAAACTCAGCATCTGCGACACTGCCCTGCTGTGACATCTGAAGAGTGTGGCCATGAAGCTTACCTGGGGCTCTGGTCACACCTGTGTCCAGCAGGCTGCCTGTTTTCATTGCCCTTGTCTACCTTTTATTCAGTTAACAGGGTCCTGCCCAGCTCCTGGGCTTCTGCAGGGAAAGAAGGTGTAAACACCTCGCGTCGGCTTCAGGCTGTAGGGGATTTTTACCTGCTCTCATGTTGTCCCAGTACTCAGGAAAAGACAGAAGGGTCACAAGTTTAAGGCCGGTCTAGACTGCACAGTGAGACCTTATCTCAACCAAACAAAGGAAGAAGTGGTAGTCTTTTTTTCAGGGTCACTCTAGCTACCCATGGTCACTGTGATCATTTCTGTAGTCTCTTTGGTATATTTTTGTATACCATTTCTTGTTGAATATATAAAATCATCCTCATGAGGTAAGCAGTACATATAGTTTCAGCTAAGAAAACTAAAGACTGAAAAGGATGAAAATTGGATCTCTTCTATGCGCGCTGAGATTTTTGGTCGCAGCATTCCCATTCATGTACCCCGTGCCAGAAAGAGCCTCTGCAGCCTTCAGGAAGATTGCAGTCACTGTAGGCTGCTCTGAGCTTTAGCAAGGGGCCAAATGTTCTGTCGGCAGATCTTAGCCTTGGGAAGTTGCTGGCCTCAGGCCACCAGTGATAGTCAGAGCTTTAGAGCAGTCAGTTGGCGGGAGTGAACAGCTAGAGTCAGGGATGCCCAGGCTCCCGATTTTAGAGATCTTGTGTTGAGTGACTGATCATATCTTAGCAGGGTGGCTTTCCTACCTCTCTATGCCTGTTTCATTGTTCAGTAACAGGAGCAGCAGCCCTCTCCCTGCTGTGTCACTGGGGACAGTGTTAATCAGAGAAAGCTGTGGTCAGTTGTTATTTAAAGAGATTGGCAGGAGGCCAGGCTGGAGGCTCCTTGGGCAGAAGAACTTTCTGGAACACATTCCTAGTGTTTCCTAAGACTTGTATTCTTTTCCTCTATGCACGTATGAATGACAGGTCTTTAGATTTAGTTCATTATGTGAAAACAGCTTTTCTTTCTTGGTGTAAAGTAGTATTTCATGTCAGAGTAAGGCAGCTGAGACAGCCATGTAGTTCTTTAGTGGCTGACCTCAGTCTCTTTGGGGCCGTAACTCTGATGGGATTGTGTCTCTCTGGGACCATAGCTGCCCACTAACCCTGTGGCTCCCATCTGGGTCCCCAGTGTGTCTGCAGGAGCTTCCCTAATGAACGTCTGGCCCTCCGCTGTGCTCTGCCCGCCCTTGGACAGCACCAGGCTGGGGTCTGTGGGAAGTAGTCTTACATGTGGTCTTATTTTCCAGTGCTGCTCTTAGCATACATGAAAGGGAATGCCAACCTGTGCCGTGCCATTGTCCGATCTGGGGCTCGCCTGGGCGTGAATAATAACCAAGGAGTCAACATTTTCAACTACCAGGTTGCCACCAAGCAGCTTCTGTTTAGACTACTCGGTGAGTGGCCTCTGATTTGCTCCATAGTGTAAACACAGTTACGGTGTTGATTATCTGGATGTATTGGTGATCTTTAAGTTCTGAACCAGTGGTTGCTAGGAACCAGATAAGACTGGATAAAGGGCCTCTGAATAGTGTTGAGAGAGAGTCATTGCTAACATTCTCTTGTTAGAGGGCTTTGCTCTGGGGCCCCTGTCTGTTACTCACTCCACCTGATCTCCCAGAGACTCACAAGCTAGAGGGAGGTCACCTGGACCATGTCTCTTGTTGTGTGTCTGCTCACCTGTCCTCATCCAACTAAACCCGAGTATGTAGCCTTCAGAATGGCCCTCAGCTTCAGCCTTCAGCAGCTCTTCCTCTTCCAGCCTGCTTTTGTGGAGAGGAGTTCTTCACTCGGGGTTTGCCTTTTAAATTCTTCTTAGTGCATATATGCTATACAAAGTGATCACATTTGTCATAGGGATTTGTACCTGTACAGGTCTTAATTCTTTTCTTCCCATTTCCCTCCCCTACCTTTAGCCTTCTTCCCCATCTCATTTATAAAGGTTTTGTTTGCATTTTTTTCCTTTTTTTTTTTTAAATCCCTTTTTGGTTCCCTCGCTTCTCCCTCCCCCAACCCTTGTTTTCCTTCCCATTTGAACACATTCTTCCTACTTCCCTATGTCTGTCTTTTGTTTTGTTCCTTATTTACCCTTTGTTTTTCTCACACAAGAGAAGCAATGTGATATTTAAATTTGCATGTCTGATTTATTTCACTTTATGGTCCCAAGGTGCACCCATTTACCTAGAGGTGACTGTCTACCCCCCTTTATGGCAGAGTAGCGCCCCACTGCACATGCATACCACCTTTTCTCCATCCATTCCTCAGCTGGTGGGCAAGTTGTATTTCCAAGATCTGGCTGTTACACTTTGTGCTGCTGATAACAGCTGTACATGTATCAGTGTGGCTGGATATTTTCATTCTCTTGGGAACTTTTGATTTCATATTTGCCTGTTTTGATACTAGCAAGAATCAGGACGCCTTGAGTGCCCAAGCTTTGTCCTCCTCCAGAGTGGAAATTAGTAGGCAGGGAAGCTCAGAGGTGCTTAGGGACAGGTAGTGGGTCTGGGCCACAGATCGGTTTGTGGCTGAGCAGCACCAAAACTTGGGGCTTCAGCTATGAGATGTGGAGGCACTTAGAGGTGCTCTGGGCGGTAATGAGTAGACTCAGAGGTGTGTGTGTGCGTGAGACACGAAGGTGAGTCTAGTGCTGGCGGCAGCATGGGTGAGCTGGGAGTTGAGTGAAACAAGCCAAGCAGGGACGCAGTCTGGGTGCCGTCATTTTTGTGGTGGCCAGGAGGGTTGATTCCATGGGCATCGAGAGCAGGGTGCTGGCCACTAGAAGCTGGGAGCAGGATGGAGTGGGGCAGATGGAGGGAGGTGGGTCGCAGCTCTAGATCACCTGCATGGACGGCAGTGCTATGCTCTATAGCATCATAAGATGAGTGAAGCCTACAGCACTTTACTGTATATTTTGTAAAAGAGAAAGGGGTTTGAAGGTTCCTGCAAAAGATAATTACATGAGAAGCAAATGCTCATTACCCTAGGTGAGCCTTACCTCACATACACCTACGGAATTACCAGGCACTGCATGTTATTTAGTGCGTCTTCTTTTTTTTTTTAAATCGGTACCGGGGATCAAACTCAGGACTGCCTGCTTTCAAGGCAGGTGTTTATGCTGCTGAGCTAAATCCCCAGCCCTTTAGCGCGTTTTCTAAAAGCGTGTGTTCTGTGACACCTAGTCTACTTTCATTTGTCTTACCCACACACTTGGTCGGCCTTTGGGAGCTCACAGCATGTGCCTACCACAGTGCTGGTGTTACAAGGTGTTCAGTTGACTGACCAAGTGTCGCTCCCTTCTGGCAAGCTCAGTTACTTGTGTGGAGCCAAAGCCCAGTGCCTGCGTGCCAGGAAGCTCATTGTGTAGATGCAAGGGAACTCGAGGGGACTTGTCTGCTGGGGTACTCTCTCTTTCCCCTCTGAGGTTGGCCCACCAGCCTTAGCTGAAACCAGAAGTGCCTTTGTTTCCTTCCTCTCTCACGTCTCAGCCTCCTTCTGGTCATCCCCGCCTCCCTCTGGTCGTGTGGCTCCTGCTGGTTCCTGCCCCCTCTGCACCAAGCCTCGTCCTCCAGCAGCCCTTGGCTAGTGTCAGGTGCCACCTTCCACGCTGCGTCCACGCTGCTGGCCCTGCCTGGAACAGTGTTAGCTCCTGTGGGAAGCTTTCTCTGACCCACTGAGAACAGATTGCTCCTCTTCCCTCCTGTCCTTCAGCAGCATGCTGCCCGTCTTAGTCTAGCTCCCTGCCCTCACTGGCACAGGTGCTCTTTGACAGGAGCTGGTCTCTGTGTGTGTTATAGATATGCTGTCCAAGGAACCTCCATGGTGTGACGGTTCCAACTGCTATGAATGCACTGCCAAGTTCGGAGTGACAACTCGCAAACATCACTGGTAAGACTGTCTGCTATTACTTCCCGCTAGAGGATGAGGAGACTTGCCTGACACCTCTGCCACACTTTTCCCTGACTTACCAGGGCCCTGTGGTGGACCACACTTCACCACAGACTGAGATGGCAGGACTGAGCGGGCTTCAGCCGGGGAGCGTGTTATGTGTGCATGGTGGGGGCCTGGGTGGCGGGGAGCTCTCAGGCTGGGGCACTTCCTGATGGTGTAAGGGCACTCGGGTTCCAGGAGTCTCTTAGGCCTTGTGTCTTCTGTCCTGGATGTGTAACAAAACCAAGAAGAACTTCTGCCCTTGTGGAGTAGTTGAGTGGAAGCTGCTGTCCTGAGAATGAAGAGCAATTCCCATTAGTGAGACAGTCTGCTGAGCCGCTCTTTATTTTTAAATTAAGCATTCTGCAGCATTACTTAGCTTAATTATTGGCAGGAATTTTGTTTTCATGGAGTAAAATTTATGCATGAATTGGCGTAACTTGGCTGCAGAGTTGATCAGAATGGCGTGGTGAGCAGGCTGGTCCCGTGAGCCCGGAGCAGTTTTCTCTGACCACCCTCTCACGCTCCCTCTCTTTGCTTTCACAGTCGCCACTGCGGACGCCTTCTTTGTCATAAATGCTCCACCAAGGAGATCCCCATTATAAAGTTTGACCTGAACAAGCCTGTGCGAGTCTGCAACATTTGCTTTGATGTACTGACTTTGGGTGGGGTCTCTTAGAAGTCCCCAGGAGGATCCAGGCCACTCCCCGGTCATCTTCCCAGCAGCTGCTCTGCTCACCAGCCCGCCCCTACCCAGAGCAGGAGCTGGCGGACATCTTCCTGCGCCAACAGACTGGAACAATTAAGGACCATGGTGTGATCTCATTGCAAGTGATGCTGTGTGGTTGTGAGTGTGTCAGGCTGTGATCAGTTTCACTAGTGTCTCACTAACTGGACCAGGCCATTTAGCCTAAGTGGTAGATGTGATAGGAGTTAAACCATTCTGTTAGCAAGAAACACGGACACTTTGAAACCATTTTCACTTCCAGTAGCTTGGTGTCCATCTCAGAGTGTTCATGCAGTCTTCCTGCTCGGGCTGACTCACGGGGCAGAGCCAGACAGTCGGAAGGTGGCTGCCCGAGGGGAGTTGGCTCTCCTCCAGGGTCAGTGGCTGTGGGCTTTTCTGCAGTGTTTGCATAAACAGGATCCTCTTGCCCTGAAGTCTTTTTTTTTTTTTTTTTTTTTAAGCTAAGCTGTGTTTTTAGTGAGCTTCCCCTTTTTAAAGGTGAAATCTTTCTAAACAGGGTTCAAAGATGAGAGCTGAAAATTGTGGCCTTAACAACTGAGAGCTTTACCAGTGTTTATGCTGCTGAGGTGTCAGGAGCGCAGGGTGGCAGCCTGACACCTCCTAGTGGCTGTCTCATTCTCTTGTCTTGCTGCGTCCTGTCTGTGGAGTCCTCAATTACTCTGCCACTAGAGTGGTGGAGGAAATGCACTTTTATTGTGCTGCACTTTTTATATAGCTGCGCTACTGGTGATTTCAATTTAAAAATTCATACTCAAAAATACTCTCATACACCTTTGCATCAGTGATTCTAATTTTCAGCTTTGACTTCTGCTGAGTGTTTCTTGGCACAAGAGATTCATACAAGCCAACGCATGAGAAGAGGGATCAACAGGACTTCAACCTGAGGGGTATCTCCAGCTTTGAGCTGGCAGGTCATCCCCTTGATACTCCTGCTTCTTGCGGAAAACTTCCCTGGTTACGCTCAGAGTGCTGCTGGTCCCAGTTCTATGTAGCCTGCCCTGTCCACGAGGGCCAGCAGCCAAAGGGCCGGCTAAGAGTGCATCTGGTTTTGGAAGGCCCTGGCTTGACTGTTGGATGAGGCCTCCCGAACTTGCTGGTCCATAGTCGCTGCTAGTACATAATATTAACCCTGAGTATTCCACTTTCTTTTGAAAGTTTGGCCAGTTTTCAAAGTATGCCTGTTGAAAGAGAAATTTGTACCTTTTTTTTTAAACACCAACTCTGAGGTGAGCAGTATGTGCTGTGCAATATACTCAGAGATTAGTGGTCTCAGTCATCCATACTGATACTCCATTTAATAACCACTACATTGTTTTGCATTAATGAAACTTGGATATTTGTGTTAAAGGGACTAATTTTTTTAACACAACAGCCCATTTTCTTTTTTGAATAGTGATGTCATATGTTGCTGTAGTTTTATACATGTTCTTGCCTAAATGTGTATAAAATACGCTGATAAACCAGAGTGCTACTTTTTAAAAATATTTCTGTGATTTATAAGATACATATACTTTCTATGTTGATATGAACTTGTGCACAATGTTTAAAAGGAAAGCATTAGAAGCCTTCCCCTGCCCCGGTCTGTGACCTGTTTCATATGGAAGTTTTAGAGAGAAACTCCATGAAGTCTTGTCAAATGGCCATATGAAGCATGTGGTCGGTTTGCTTTCTTCTGCCTAAAAAGGGTCACCAAACGTAGGCTTAGTTAGGTAGCTTAATTGTTTAGAAAAGATAATTACGACTCGGAGATGAGTTGAGATGGCCGGTACATACATCATTCTTCGAACGTTCACAGTGGAGAGGTCCAGTCAGGGAGGAGGCTCATCCGCCCTTGCCTGCCACACCAGGTCCAGTAACAGTCTTGCCTACTACTGCACTGAAAACTTAGTCATGTTTGATTCAAGCTTCTGTTTTCTCAGAGTCTGGGCATAGCTGGTACTGCCCAGCCTTGGATTGGGGGAACACTGTGAGTTCTGCATTGGTACCTGCATGCAGGAAGAACGGGCATCTTTCTGCAGTCTTAGATCACCCTGGTCATGCTGATGCTCACAGGACTGCGCTCAGCAGGTTCCTTGAGGGGAAGCTGTCTTGCAGGAGTCCAGCTTGTACTGCCCTCCATGTGCTCCTCATGTTATAAGACTTGACTACAAAACTGCCTAGCTGTTCTTATTGGATTTTAATCAGTGACTTAACTACTAGTAGCAAAAAATTTTATTCATTCTGAAAGTTTCCAATGATGAAGAATAAACTCCCTGAAACATGATTTGCTGTATCAGTCAACATTTGTAAGCTGAATTTGCTTTTTAACTCCTCTTGCTCATTGCCAGACCTACTATAAAGTGTACTTTCTAAAGACAGAGGTACAAACCATGTGCTACATATGAATCCAATAGCTTAAGCTAATTGCTGTGACCCTTTAAAGCACAGCTAGCCCACAAACGTAAGTGCCTACACTTAGGACTCTTCAATTTCAGCTCTTTTCAATGACGTCTCACTGAATGAGATAAGAGAACATGTGTTTCATCTGAGTTTTGTGCCTGCGCATTGTCAACCCAAATTACCAATGTAGTCAAGGATGGATCAGACTGCTCGGTTCACCTGCCATTTTCTCCAAGGAACAGGTTCCATGTGACGATTAGTCCTCTACCTCAAAGCTCCGAGTCATTCTGACTACCTGGATCAGCTTCCCCTCTGTCCTCTGAGTCATCTCCTGCGTGGGTTCAGTGTGTGTAGTCCCTTCACTCTTCCTGATCCACGCTCCTCACATTGCATTCAGCCGTTTCTGTGCTAATCTTGTCTGCAGGCATGGGGCAGAGGGAAGGGAAAGGGCACGTCCTCTGTGTAGGTTTCCTTCACGTGGAAAAAAGAACACTTCCGGGCTACAATGCCAGCCACCTAGCTGGCAGCAGCATGCACGATAAGTGTACCCTGTGTCACAGACACACGGGCTTCCCTTTGATGAGCTCTCCCGCCAGCTGGGGCCAGGAGTGAGCAGAAAGGAAACCGCTAGCCAGAGGCATTGGGAAGCCACACTTGACTTTGTGGAAGCAGTTTGGTTGAGGGCTGAGTATAAGATCAAATGTAAACTAAATTCCCAGAAGTTACAGATGCCTTAAAGACTTTCTTGGGAAGACTGTCAGCCGTACAGTTCTTTTGTGTGGCATAAATAATAACAACAGATAGCATTGGTTTTCTGTACCATGGGAGCCTTGAGACTGCCTGACTTACTGACTTGCCTCTGGCAGATGCGTAGGGTGGGCTGTTCTGTGACATCCCTGTGGTTCCAAGGGCACGTTGGGCAGAAACGGTAGGCACATATCTGGGTAATAATTTGGCTTCCAGACCATGGAGGGTGGCACCTAGTGTGAGATGATGGCCTCATTTGGGACCATGGTGTTTATCAGCATTATTTCTTTGGAGTCTGTGTAATGGAATGTATTTTTCAAATATGTACTGATATTTGCATTTTCTGTAACAATTCCTTAATAAAATGAGGTAAAGTTGTACATTTAAAGTGGAAACTTTAATAAGACATTTGCAGTTACTTCTAATGCAGAAGTACCAATAAACATTAAAACAACAAAATTTTTAAAACCCTCTTGATTTGCAAATAAATTTGTTTACCTTCCAGTAGAGTTTGAATTCCCACATTCTCCTGAAACAAACTGTTGACAGCAAACAGAAAGTAGCTGTTTTCTAGTAGTAAGCAGCTGTCTGGACTTACTATGCCATCCGCCTAGGCCTTGATGCCCCATGATATGTGGTGTCACAGCCCTCTCACCCCGTGTAAGTGCTCCAAAGGACCCTCTGCAAGTCACTCCAGAACTGCAGCGTTTATGAGCTGCTCAGAGGAGCTATCTGTGGCGAGCTTGCTGTCTGGATTCCAGAGGGCGCTAAGGAAGGTTTTAATTTAAAACCTAGTGTTCCATAAAGCTCCTCTACAAATTGTACAAAGTTAGTAGCTCACCTGGCCTTTAAAACACCTCTTTTTGTTGTTTTTTTAGACAGGGTCTTGCCGTATAGTTCAGGTTGGCCATCAACTTGGGGTGATCATCCTGCCTCTGTCTCACAACTCCTGGGATTATAGATGTCTGCTACCGTGCCCAGCAGCAAAACACCTCCTGAGTTAATAAGATCCTTTACTCATTTTCTATTTGCCTCAACCCTAATTCACTCCAGCTGGAATAACATATCTTTCTCAAGTGGCTTCTCCCAAACTTAAAGGCACTATCAGTTTCCATTAACTCCCCTAAGCACTGTCATTCTGATGGCCTTCCTTGAAGCAAGCAGTGCTGACCGTCCTGTCACTGGCTATGAGGTATGGAATAGTTGGGAGCCAGCTGGATGTCAGTTCTGGTTTGTCACTGATTAGCTGATAAAACCAGGCAAGTTGCTTAATTTCTGTGCCTTAGTTTCCTGAGCTCTCAGATGAAGGTGACAGGTCTCTCCTTGCTCACTGGGTTGCTTGATCAGCAGTGTGTCCTTCCTGTCTTCCAAATACACAAACCTCTGGGCCTCTCTGGGTGGGGCTAATGGCAGTAATGTCTGCTGCCCCTCAGCAGAATCCAGGGGCTCTGGGGAAATGCTGTGGTCCCCAGGGATGCCTCCTCTGCTGCCCCAACCTGTCCCCCAGCTTCTCCCAGAGCAAAGGGCTGGGGACGGGTGGCAGGTCAGGCAGCGCTCCTCACCTGTGAGGTGCAGTGGCTGAGCTGTTAGTATGGCCTCACTCTTGACTCAGTTTAAAGAAAACGCATGGCAAAATTATAAAACAGATGTTGGGGTTCCCTTCAAGACGAAGGGGCAGCTGTTCAGCCTTTGCTCATGGGTGTTCGGCCATGTTGGCTGGTGGTTTCAGTCACCGCTGGTGGCTGCCTGTGACAAGAAATACGGCAGCTGTAGAAATTCTGCCTCTAGTAGAAGAAAGGTGTGGGATCTTCATGCCCTTCTGAGCCACAAAATGGGACTGAGAGCGGGGCTGGTGGGGAGTAAATGAGAACAACACTCTTGCACAGGGCCGGCCTCAGCATAGCTGTCTGATACACGCGTTTTCCTGCGCTGCGGGCATATCTTAACAGTTTCAGCTTGAGCTGTGTGCTGCCTCTGGGACCAGTAGGCCGGCCTCTGAAGTTCTGCTCAGGCCACTGCTCCTGAAGGAGCAGAAGGCACTTCTCCATGGCAATGAGCAGTTTTCCACGGCAGAGCCCTCTGAGCACTGAAACTGCCATTGTGAACCATGTGCCCGAGGGGAGGGCAGCTTCTTCACCAAGCAGTAAGCTGTTGGCATAAACTGAAGAGTTCCTCAAGAACAAAGCCCTGTGCAGTGCCCGAGGCTGCCAGCCCTTCCCGAGACATAGATACAGGTGAGCACCCTGTGCTGGACAGACTAAGAGCGCCTCGTTCTGGAAGGATCTGCACTCCACTGGACTGGCCCTCACTGAGCATGGAGACCACCGTCTGGGTGAAACTGGACAGTGCTGGCTAACTGCAGCTAACTGCCTGGTGGGAATCGGTGTGGCTGAGCTCCCGGCGAAGATGTATGGGCTAGCAGAGTTAGTATCAGTAGAGCACAGCAGACCTGGAAAGGTCTGTCTGAAGCCCCCCCCCCATCATTGTTGATTTCTCTTTAATCATAGCCTTTGGCTTTCGTTAACTTGCTTTGTGCTGCTTCCTAACAAAGAATTGCTCTGTAGGATGGTAACAATACATAAGTGGAAATGACTTTGTTTTTGGCTCTCGATGGACACTGGTCCTTGAAGGATGCCAGCAATAAACTGCTCTTTGGCCTGTTACTGGGTCTTGTTGGTTCTGTCTGGGATGCTGTGTAGTCTCCTGTGCAGCTTCCCCTGATTTACCACCCGAACAATGGCCTCCTAAGTGCTCCTACCTGGTTTACTTCATACCATGAGCCTGAGGCCGAGAGTCACGCTTCCCTGTCCCCTGCCCTCAGTACAATGCCTGGCATTTATGTAAAGTACCTTGGTAACTTGCACTGGAGAACAGCAGAGCATAACAGTGGCCCTTTCCAGGCAACTTAAGAGTTGACACGGAGTAGAAGGCTGCTGAACGCTGTGAACGAGGCCTTTGTTAAGCTCTCCTGCTTTCCCTTTCTGCCCCAGAGAGTAGAGACATCCAGAAATGAGGCAGAGTGGAAACCACACTGAATTAGGAGCTGAATTTGCTAGGGCCAGAAGTGGTGGTGACACCTGTAATTCCAGGACCTGGAAGGCTGAGGCAAGAGGATCACTGCATGTTTAGGGTAGCCTGGATTAGAGTGCGTTCAAGACCAGCCTGATCTAACATACTGAGATCTTGTCTCAAAAAGTCAAAAAGGAAAAATCTTTTGCGGGGTACAGTGCTGTATGCCAGGAATTCTAGCTACTTGGTAGCTAAGGAAGAAGATCTAAAGTTCAAAGTGAGCCTAGGCAACTTAGCAAGATCCACAGATGCAAAGTCTTCACTTCCACGATGATCTTTTCCATTTTATTATTACTGCTCACAGTATTGGCTAGCTGTAATCAACTCAGTGGGCACCAGACTATAAACTTGAGTTTGCTTTAGGGTGGAAGTCTTAGGAAAAACAGGCTGTGAAAGTCAGGTACCCCAAGTTTGCTGGGGACTTAGGGTTACCTGGTGCTGTTAATATGCACACCTCCTTGTGATGTGTTTTTCTGCTGAGAGAGGCAGTCCTGTTTTGCCACTGCTCCAGATACCCTGCCAGGTGGGTTGTGGTCTGGGAAGGAAGCAGCTGGAGCTCAGAGACGTCCCTATTGTCTGGTCATTTCTGAGGAGGTCGTATCTGAGCCCATTAATACCTGAGGGTGCAGAGGAAGATGTGTGTGTCCAAGGGGGAGCAGGATCAGAACAGGTGGGTGAGCTCCCGTATAGACAGCAAAGTCCATTTGCAGGGTGCAGCCAGAGTCCTGGAGTCTGGGCCCCATTCATGCCTGCAGACACCCATGGCACATGATGTCGACCTCTCGAATTCCATACAGGGTTCTCTGTTATCAGTGAATAGGACACTAGCTTAACGGGAAAGAGCATGTGACTGCCAGAGTGGGGCAGCCTGGGTATTCTCCCAAGCTGGGGTCATCCAGGTCCCCACGGTTTCTGTGTGTGGGGTTGTCCAGGGGCTGGTCACTGGGCGGGCCAGTTGTTCTCACACACACGCAGCGGGGCTCCTTGGACCCGGGCTTATACAGCTTCCTGGGGACACCAATCCAGTCTCTGCTTACACCTCCACTGGGGACAGAAAGAGAGCACTTCTTAAAATCATTAACTCAAAATTCTGCCTGGAGAAGAGAGAGGCAGCAAGCCAGGCCATAGGAAAAGGAGAAGCCGTGCCACTTCCTGTCATGGTGTTGTCCTAGACAGGGCCCTGCAGTAACCAGCCTGAACCTATGCTCCAGCTTCCCTGTACAGCACCAGTGCTCTTGTCTCCAGGCTGACAGCAGAGCCAACAGTACCTGTCACAGCGCCCCCCCGCCGTGCTTCCTGAGTTAAGGCAAGGAAAATGAGGGAGGGAAAATGAGGGAAGCTGGGCCTCCCGGAAGCTGGTGGCTTTCACTATGGTCTTGTCCATACAGTGCATCAGCTTCCCTGAGGAACAGAACAGGTGGACACTGCAACAGGGGATGTAGCCCTCCCGGTTCCTCCTCGGTGAGAGCTGGAGTCTTCCTCTGAGGCTCCTGTGATGGGAACTTACATGTCTACTGAGTAAGACCCCACTTAGCAACGCTCTGAGAGTGGCTGTGGACCACTGGCACACAGGCTGCCATCTGGGGAGCCAGGAGCCACATCTGGAGGGCTTGGAACTCCTGGATGGAATAAAGGGAAGGAGGACGCCACCCTCTGTGTCTCTGAAGAAGCCCCAGTCTGGAACTGCCTCTGGATGTCTGTTTCCAGTGTCTTCAGCCGTCCAGCGCTGACCCTTTAACCTGACACTGACACACCTAGGACTACGTGAGCTCCAGCCCAGCCCTTCCAGCTCTCCAGCGCACCAGTGACCACTGTGCATTCTTTCACCCTGTCCTGCAAGTAACTATTATAAGTCTACCTAGTAACACCTTTAATATAGTCATGCATATATTTTATATTAAGACTGCTTTTCTAGTGAATCCTAACCTGTATCACCTTCCCTTTCCCTCTTACAGCCTAGGCAAGTACTCTGACTTTGAGGCTGGCAGGTTTGTCCAGTTTCTGGTTTCCTTTGCCCCTTTAAGGGCTAAAGGATATTTGAGACTCCAGGTGAAGTTTAAGCCAGGCTGGCCTGATAATTAAAGCAGGAAAAACTTCTGCATCTTCAGCTTCCCCAGCCTGTCTGAAAAGTTCCTGTGGCATCCTCAGTCCCAGTCCAGCCTACCTCACTTCGTCCTTCTATGAAAAGGCTGTGCCATCTCACCTGCACCTCTTGGAGCATCCGGGCTGTGCCATGCTTTTAAAATACCACCTGTGGGCATCTGCCACGGGCCCAGCTCCCTGACCCTCCGATGCAGGGGACGGGGGGCGGGGAGTGTTGTGCTGACAGAGATGGGAAACTCAGGCCCATGGATAGCTGAACGGGCTGAAGCAAGCAGGAAACAGGACTTTTGCCTTCTTTCCCAAACCAGGGTTCTTCCTTGAGCAGAGTAGCTGGGGGGTATGGTATTCAGGTCTCAAAACGAGATTCAACCCTGGTGTTTTCATTTAGTTGTCTGGAGGAAAGTGACACTGTCGACATTTTTTTTTTTTTTTGGTACTGGGAACTGAACTCACAACCTCGTGCTTGTCAGGCAGGCACTTACACCACTGAGCTAAAGCCAACGGTCAGTAATTTTTAAATTCCCATAACATCTAACATACAGCCAAAGGTGACAAACACTATCGCAGATTACAGGTATTTTGAAAAACTTCCCCAGTTAGTAATTCATGGATTCCCTGAATAATGGCCCAGAGGTTTGACCTGGGGACGGAGAGGGGCAGAAGGGAGTCTGCTCACCTCTCCTGGGAACACCAAAGCCGGCTGCCCTTGGTGGCACTCCACTCAGCATTGCATGGGGGGAACTTCCGCCTCTCCTCCTGGGCTTGTTTCTTAGCCTCTGCGCCTTTGGCCATCATGGCTTCCACCCGGGTCAGCTCGGTGGTAGGCAGCCCGTCCTCCCCGTAGAACCTTCCTACCACCCTTCCTGCAAAGACCAGAGGCTGAGGTCAGAGCGACAGTGGGAAGGCCGTAAGAAGGGACACTGGGCTCAGGAAGCAGTTGGGAGTTGGGCCCAGATTCGCACAAGTTTGGACCTCCAGGCTTCCCAGCAGCCTGCCATGTGCTCACTGACTGAGGATCTGTACTAGAGGAGTGGCACCTGGGGCCTCGCACATGCACACACTGAGGCCCACCCCAGCGCGGGGGACTGCTGCTTTCTGTCCAGACCCCCCCCCCCCAGATGATTCCACGTAAAAGCAGCCTGTGCGGCCATAGAATCCTTCAGCAAAAATGACCAGATCCTCTTACCTCTGGCCCTGGCTCCCTGAGGGTGGAGCCCTGTGTTTGCTTCACTGAGACTCTGCAGTGCTCGGGCGCGCATGAGTGTGTGTGAATAAATGGCTTCCTGGGGCTGGGGATTTAGCTCAGCAGCATAAGCGCCTGCCTTGCAGGCAGGCAGTCGTGAGTTCGATCCCTGGTACCAATAAAAAAAACGAAAAAAAAAAAAAAAAAAAAAAAAAAAAGGCTTCCTGGCTCCTGTATTTTTGTGGCTCATTTCTTCCCAATGCCAAATTGTTTCGCCTCATTTAAATATGTCATCTTCTTCCAAGCACTTACTCAATACAGGCACTGTACTGGGCCTTCAGCAACACTTTAACCCTTACAGCAAACCTCTGAAAAACGACTGTTCTCATATTTGTAGGAGAGAGGCTGGGAGACTGATTTGGGAGTCTGTGACGCTGGTAAGGGGTATGCCTGTGTTTTGGCCCCGAGGCCCAGGACCACAATTCACCAAACACAAACATTCAAACATACCCTGGGTGTAACTAAACCCCTTCTCAGGCATTGCCAAGCACTTGATTCTCCACACACCACACACTGGCCCGGCTTGGCAAGCCCACCTGTCTAACCGCACGAGGACCCTTCCAGTCAGCCTCCCGAATTGGCACAGGATTGGCCTAGGGCCCCTTTGCACACTCTCATCGTTTGATGTGAAGTTTTCTTTATGAACCAGCAATGTTTCAACTGATACTTGGCAACTTCATGGGAAAAAGGAAGACCTGGGCCTTCTCCAGTACAGTCAGTCAACTGGCCAGATATCAGCTCCCTCATGGAAGACATGGTTGTGGGCTCAGGAACAGTGTGTGGCAGACAAGGGAAAATGAAGCCCATGCCACAGGTTAGAATGCAAAGGACAGTGACAACGAGGTGGGGATTAGAAATGGAAAGGCACAAGCTTTAGACTTAGACCGCATGAGAAAAGCCTTGGCAGTTGGAATGGAGGGAAGAGAGGAATTAGTAAAAATACTACTGGTCTCAGAAAAGGCAACCCAACAGAGCAGATGGCCAGAGGCATCAGAAGCAGAGGAAAAGCTGGATGTGGTGGCACACACCTATAATCCCACCACTTGGGAGGCTGAGGCAGGAGGAACACTGTGAATTTGAGCCCAGTCTGGGCTACACAATGAGTTCAAGTCCAGCCTGAGACCCAGTGAGATCTTCTCTCAAAAAACCTAAATAAATTAAGAAATAAGTAAGAAATAGCCTAGCATGGTGGCTATATCTTCAATTATAGCACTCTGGAGGCTGAGGCTGGAGGACAATTGTGAGTTCAAGACTAGCCTAGAACACAGCAAAATCCTATCTCTAAATATGTTTGGCTGGGTGCAGTGGTGCACACCTATAATCCCAATGGTCAGGAGGGTGAGACAGAAGAATTGCTGCCCATTTGAGGCCAGCCTGAGCTACACATAAGTTGAAGAGTTTAAGGCCAGCCTGAACTATACAGTGAGAACAGGTCTCAAATATATACATACATGTATATGTATATATATATGGAATTATCCAAGCTACACATCAGTTTAGGCTTCCGACCTTCTACACTGTGTGCTGAAGTCACATGTATCAAAGTGAGACACTGAGACAAGGCAGCCACACTCTTGGGGTGCACTATTCAGGGGTGGTGTGGGCAGCTACTGGCTTTAGGCACCTAAGGCCAAGGCAAAGGGCTTGATAATCCTCTCCCAAGGCTGACCATGAGGGAAACAGGCATCCTGTCCATTGCCGCCCGGGGCTCACTAACGGGATTTAATGTGAAAACTCCAGGGCTAATTTTCAGATTTTTATTTGCAGTGGGGTGGGGTAGGGGGTTTGTGGCCCTTGGGATCAAACCCGGGACTCACACATGACAGGCAAGCACCTCCCGGCCCTAGATCCCAGATATGAACCTTGAAGGAGATCCCTAGTCTTGGTTCCTTGAAACAAGTTGCCAGACAATCATGTGAAACCTTGGGAATGACCTATAGAACACCTACCGACACACACGTAATTCTTCTCATAAAATGAAAGCCAGGTTTGAAGGGTCAGCATCTCAGAGGAGGACAGGTCAGCGACATCATCTACCAGGCCTGCATCCGAGAAGTCTCCGGTCACGAATGCCCTGGACGCATCTCGGCCTGCAGAAGAGAAGGTCACAGCAGACTCAGCGGTACCAACCCAAGGGTGTGTTTTCTAGCTGGGCATGGTGGCCCCTGCCTGTAACCCCAGCTGCTCAGGAGGCTGAAGCAAGAGGGTAACAAGTTTGAGGCCACCCTGGAAAACTTAACAAGAACACATCTCAAAGTGAAAAAATTGGGGATGGAATTTCTTGGATTCAATTCCCAGTATTACAAAAATGTTTGAAAAATCTATTTTCTGAAAAAGAGCTCCTGACCACCTCAGCCCCAGGGAACTGTAGCCTCCCCTTCCCTGTGCCAGGTGCTCCTGGACCTGGAATGCACAACTCTGGCTTCTGTCATCTTCTTTCAGCAGCACTTGGCATAGCTGCCTGCTGCCTGTGGCTCCCAGGACCCTTCACTCTAGGCCTCCTCCTCCTTCACCAGCTCCTCAGTGTCTACCAGCTTCAGGGCTCAGTTACTGACCACAGCCACTCTTGACAGCCGTATCCACTCTTGAGGTTTCAAATCTCCCCTTTGTGCCAAGTCACCAAAGCTGTGTTGGTTCAGACTTTTCCTGAGCACCATATGTCTGTATCACTCAGCTGTCTCACAGAGGTGGCAAGTTCAGAATGTCCACAGTGGGTAACGGCCATCAGCAGCAAAGCCCGAGAAGCCCGCGTCCCCTCTGGTGTCCCTGTCTGTGAATGCCAGCCACTAGTTCAGTCCAGACTGGCCTCACATTTAGTCTTTTTTTTGCTTTTAACTTTGAGAGATTTCACCAAGTTGCCCAGGCTGGGTTCAGATTTGAGATCTTTCTACCTCAGTCTCCTAATTACAAGTATGAGCCACTGCATCTGGCTAGTCTGTTAAGTTTTATCAGGAAAAAAAAAAAGACACTAAATCATTTCCTGTTGATTCCCTAGTGTCTGGTATAGTACCTGACCTTTAGTAAATTCCCAGTCAGTACTCACTGAATGAAATCCATGCATTTACAGCCAGCTGATTTTTAAGAAGGTGCTAAGTCAATTTAATGAAGGAAGCTTTTCCTACAAATGCTGGGAAATAGAAAAGCCACATTCAAAGGAATGAAATTGGACCCTATCTCATGTCACACATAAAAATGAACTCAACATACATAGAAGACCTGAATATTTCAGCTAAAACTATAAAACTCTTAAAGAAAACAGGTATACTCAGATGTGATGGCATGTGCCTGTATTTCCAGCCCTCAGGGGCTGAAACAGAAGGACTGCCTTGAATTAGAGACCTGCCTGGACCACATGGTGAGTTAAAGAGCTACACAGTGAGATCCTATCTCACAAATATCTATATAAATAAATAAATAATAAAAGAAGTATGATTCTTTGTGATTTTGGTTGGACAACATTCAAAAGCAGAAACAAGGGAAAAACAAGAAAGCTGTACCTGACCAAATCTAAGACTTCTGCACATTAAAGAATGTGATCAAGGTGCCAGGAATAGTGGTGTATGCCTGTAATCCCAATGCTTGGGAGGCAGAGGGAGGGGGGTCTTTGCCAGTTTGAGGTCAGTCTGGTATACACAGTGAGTTCAAGGCCATCCTGGACTACACAGCATGATCTTGCCTCAAAAAAAAAAAAAAAAAAAAAGTCAAAATAAAAAGACATTTCTGCATAGAAAATATGCAAGCACTCGAGAAATTCATCAAAAATGCTTAGCATCATTAGGTTAATGCTAAAATACAAGTAATCAAGGCCACAATGAAATATTACTTAAAATCTACTAAAATAAAAAAGAAATTAAAGACTTTTGGGGAGGATGCATGTGGCAGAATTAAAGCTGGTACTATATTCCTCGTGGGAATGAGTATCCGATGGTACAGCCACTTTAGAAGAGAGTCTGGCAGTTTACCAAGAAGTTTAACACAGAGTTACCATGACTCAGCAGTTCCACTTCTAGGTATGTATCCAGGAGAGCTAAAAACACTTTCACAGAAAATCCTACACACAAACATTTATAGCAGCATTGTCTGTAATACGTGAAAAGCAGAAGTAACCCTAAGGTTCACGAACAGAAATACAAATGAGATACGGTTTACCTGTACAGTGGGATATAAAGTGGCCATCAAAAGGCATGAGGTACTGGGCGTGGTGGCATATGCCCATACCCTCAGCATCTGAGAAACTAAGGCAGGAAGCCTGCCAGTGCAAGGCCAGTCAGGACAGCATAGTGAAATCCTGTTTTAAAAAAAGAAAAGGAATGACACATGGAAGCGCTATGGATGAACCTTATGTGAAGAAAAAGAAACCCTAGACAAAAAAGGCTCCACATATCAGGCCATTTACATGGAATGCCCACAACAGGGAAAGGTCTAGGAGTAGAAAGCACACAGGACGACTTGTCAGACTGAGACTGCTATTAGATAGTTTCTTTTTTAGGTCATAATATTCTGCGGCTAGTCCTGGTATTTACACAAGTTTCTGATTATATTTTTTAAAGCCTACCAAACTGCACACTTTAAAAGGGCAAATCACCAGGCTGAGGCATGACAATTGCTTTCAAGGCCAATCTGCAGTATACAGCAAGATTCCATCTTTAAAAAAAGCAGATTTTCCATGAATTGTTTTTCATCAAAAGCATCTGAGCATCACGGCACCCTACTCCTGTAAGAACTTCAGATTCAAAGCCAGTACGGGCAACATAGTGAGCCCTGGTCTCAGAATGTAAAAAATACTTAAAGCCTGAACATGGGTAGCATACCTCCTCAAAGTTGTGGTTTAGAGTTCCTGGCCTCAGTTGTTCTTGGATTTTTCCTTGACTAGTAATTGTTTATTACCTATTTATAACCTAACTAATAATTGTTTGTGGGAACCCGGCAATTTTGTGGAAACTGCAAATATCCTCCGCAACTGTATTTTGGCAGGAGGCTTGCAGGTAGCCAACTGGAGAGCCTTATGGAGTCCTCCTTCCTGCTGCCGGCTGCTGCCTGCTGACCCATCTCCACCCCTTCGTTCCTACATCATAACAGCTTTTATATCTGGAGTGTTCTTATCTTCTCCAACCCTTCACCCCTTCGTTCCCACATCATAACAGCTTCTATATCCAGAGTGTTCTTCTTTTTTTTCTTGCTCTTCTTATCACCCTAAGATCCCAAAAATGTGCCAAAGTGCTCCATACCTCCTAAGGCTTTATTGATACGATATTAAAGCCAGGGATTTAGCTCAGCAGCATAAGTGCCTGTGTGGCAAGCACAAGGTTGTGAGTTTGATCCCCAGTACCAAAAAAAAAAAAAAAAGGATTACATGATATGGTATTAAATTACGTAACTGTGGGAATCATAAGATATTTAGGGTTTAACATATAAAAACAGGCATTTATAGGCGTATCTGAAATGTGCGGTTTTTCACAATTTGCAGGTGCTTTTAAGAACCTAAGCCCCATAAAGTGCGTGGGTTCACAGTATCTCAATATTACAGCACTTGCTTGGCACGTACAAGGTCCTGAGTACAATCCCTAGTACCACACACAAAAAGCAATTTTTGAAAAATGACTGAATGGAGCTGGGGATTTAGCTCAGCGGCATTAGCGCTGGCCTTGCAAGTGTGTGGTCATGAGTTCAATCCCCGGTACCGATAAAAAAGAAAAAGACAAAAAAAGAAAAATGACTGAATGGACTGAATGAACAAATGAATGAATAAATGAACACTCCTAGAGGCACTTCTTACTTCTCAGCACCTGGCACAACATAGGACACATGGCAGTGGTCAATAAACAGATGTTTAATGAAAATCTGACACACAGGATCTCAGCAGACAGGACAGCACACTGGATAGCACCCCATAAATGGGAGGGTTTATGCCCACATCCGTGCACACATCCACACAGCTGCCCTAGCGTACAGCAGGGCAATGCACCAAAAATGCCTTCAACCCATAGGTCAAAAAAAAAAAAACCTTGGTTCCAGTCCAGCTGGGATTTTAACTCACAGGAAGCCTCTTTTAGTCCCTTGTCCTGCTGGACAGTTTAAGTAGCTTAGAGGGAAGGGGGTGAATTGTATTTAAATGCCAGAGGCAGCTTTCCAGATCTGCCAAGAGAACATAAAGTAGAAAATGCTTGTTTAGTATCAGCCTCATGACTGACCTTAGGCTTTCTACACACACACACACATACACACACACAGGCACAGCCACTTTGTTTTCATCTGTAGGTGGTCAATGTTTTCATCTGGAAAGGCAACATGTAGAACTAGGCTGGTGGTTCTGCACCTGTCAGTGCTTAGCTATGAAAGCTTTATGCAAATCATACCTTTTAATTCCCTCAGGTGTAAAATGGGAATGCTAGAAAAAAACTAAAATTGCTTCAGGCCTAACATGTATGCTTTAGGCTGGCTTTGCCGTTCAGTTTTGGGGGGCAGGAAGGGTCTCACTGTGCTGGCCTTCTAGTGTCAAGCAATCCTCCTGCCTCAGCCTTCAGTCGCTGGGCCAGGCCTGCATCGTGTTTCTCATTAGAGGGCTGTAAAGGTGACCGGACCCTTTTCCTCTGCTCTCACCTTAGTCTGTTTCTAAAGGCACACGAGTGCATTTGCAGTGGACGTCAGAACAACACAAGCCAGCCGCCTTTTGCAGGGAAAATCTGGGCTAGCAGGAACGGTGTCTGGGTATGGTCACAGTGGTGGCTGAAACTAGGGGACCTGTGAGGGCGGGGAGGGTCCCGCTGCTGTGTCCTGAAGGCCGCCAGTAAGTCCCGCACGATGTTCCCCGGGCTCTCGAATTTAGGTAAGGGGCTGCGAGACACAGGACGCGTGGCTCAAGCAAAGGTCACGGAAAGCAGTGGACAGCGGGGTACAAGTTGAACACAGCTGGCCAAAGTCCCGCCCGGCCGGACACCACAGGGTGGTGAAATCGAGTCCAGTCGGCCAAGAGAGCAGGACAAATGTGGAGGGCGGGGAAACAGAGGAATAAAGGAAAGCACGAAGCTGCGCAGGCGGCCACAGACCGCGCAGGAGGGCAAGGCCTGAACTCTCTTCTATACCTGCGAAGCCGCTATAGTGGGCCCCAGGCTCGTAGTGCCTCCGACCAGAGGACACGTCGTAGACACGGCCGAGTAACGCCAAGTAGAGGCCCGGGTCCCCTGCGCCGCCGCGGTAGCGGGCCAGCTCCTCGGGCAGGAAAAGGCGAAGGCCCGCAGAAAAGCCACCCCAGCCCATCAGCCGTGCTGCTACCACGGCCGCAGCTGCCACGGCCAGGCTCACCAAGAGTCCACGCCTGCAGGGTCTCTGCATGGAGCCAACCACATCCACGTTCCACCTCCAAAGTTGCCGCCTCTCTGCCCGTAACTAAGATGGCAGAGGCGCCGGCTGTGACGTCATCGAAGCGACTCGCTCAACATCTTCGGCGCAAAGCTCGCTCCCAGGCTCCGACTCTTTCTCATGCTTTTTCAGCATAGGTGGGGAACGTGGGGGAATGCGGAGAAAGCGACAACAGTGACAGTCTCTTACAGTTTTACCCGCCCCCAACAAAAATGGCGGCAAGGCAGGTTGCAGGATGACGTAATGTCAGGACAGACGGTTCTCTCGGAAATCTGGATTCCACCCTTTGCTGTGGTAGTCCTCCTCTAGGTGTCGTAAACTGGTAGAGTACGCTTGACGGTGCCATTGCGACAGCAGTCCTCACTTGACGATCAGGAAACCGGAAGCCACTCCTGCCGCCGTCGTCTCCTCCCTGTCCCCGCCCGCTGGGTGCTGTCTGAGGTTGACAGGTCGAGGTTGGCAGGCGGCAGCGGCGGCTGCGGAGCCCCTGCGCTCAAGACGGAGGACCCATGGGGAACGCTCCGAGTAACAGCAGTGAAGACGAAGCAGCAGCCACTGGGGGCGAGGGCTGGAGCCCACACCAGGACTGGGCCGCGGACTCGGGCATGACCCCCGGCTCGGGCCCTGTGGCCCCCGCGCTGCCGCCCGCCGCCGCACTGCTGGAACCCGCCAGGCTGCGAGAGGCAGCGGCTGCTTTGCGGCCCGCCCCGCCTTGCGAGTCGCTGGTATCGAGGCACCACGGCGCGCTGTTGCGCTGGCTGGAGGAGAGGCTGGGCCGCGGCGAAGAGTCCGTCACTCTGGAGCAGTTCCGGGAGCTGCTGGAGGCTCGCGGAGCTGGCTGTTCGGGCGAGCAGTTTGAGGAGGTTAGGGCCGACTGGCGACGGCGGGGTGGGGACGGGTCGGTCGCCTCCAAGGGCGTTAAGAGGTGGGCAGTTTTGGAAAAACCGGCCTTAGGAACCTACAGGGTCCACAGCTGCTTAAAATACAAGTATGGGGCTGCCGGAACCCTTTTGAGGTGCGCCTAACCTGTTCACTCTGGGCGCCTTCTCTGGCCTTCATTACAGATATGGAAAGCCCAGTTTAAGCTGTCATTGATCTGAAGAGTTGAAGAAGCCGAAATGTCTTTCCGTATTATAGTTCACACATTTTTGGGTTGAAGCTGGATCAGTTACTCTCTGGAGCTTTCTTATCAGACTCTAAAAATGTTTAATAGAAATGATACACGGGGCTGGGGATTTAGCTCGGCGGCATAAGCACCTGCCTTGCAAGCAGGCAGTCGTGAATTCAATCCTCGGTACCGATTAAAAAAAAAAGAGAGAGAGAAAGAAAAAAATTGAAGAAAAAAAAAAAGAAATGATACTCAAGGATCAAGGGAGTGGCAGTGAAAGCCATTCTGTTTTATGGCCTAGACAGGTTTTTGCAGAGCACTTTCCGAATCCAATGTGAGTATCAGTAGATGTAAAAGGAGGGGAATCTCATACTCTGTAAACCAGTCTAGTTTCATCTAAGAAAACTAGCTTTCCGATTTTCATTGAAATCTTTGTAAGACCTAAAATTGGTAGGTTAGTACCTGATTTCCTGTGAGCACTGTACTCACAGGTTTTCCTTATATCTGTACCTAACTCTTCATTTTAGAGTTAGAGAAAGGCTGATCCATGGTCACTCAATGAGTCATTTCAACGGCAAATCTGGAACTGTGATCCAGTTCTCCTGACTTTTTAAAATCTTCCACTACTTTCCAAATACTGTTTCAGCTCCACAATCTTACGACAGAAAGGGTATTTAATTTGTGAAAATGAATAAGCTTTGTAGAATCTTCAGTCAGTGAAGGATGGGTACAAAAAGCAGTAAACCAAATTTTGGCTTGTTACTGCCCACCTGTAATCTGAGCACTCTGGAGGCTAAGACAGGAGGGTTGCCAGACGTTTCAGGCCAGCCTGAATTACATAGTCAGGTTCAGGCCAGCCTGGACTACATAGCAAGACCTTGTCTCAAAAACAAACTGTAACAATCAAAACCCAAAGTAATAAACCAACAGACCTTGTCATATGATTAAAATCTTCTATTTACTTTGAAACTAGAATCTTTTGAAATCTTTTTCGAATGTTTTCTTGTACATGATGAGAATATTTAGATAATGTAGTTTGTATCCTTTTTATAGATTTCTTTTAAAATGCCTTTAAGTCATCCCAGCTCTTAAAAATATTGAGCATGTGAATGAAAAGTCTCTATTTTAAAAATCCCAAGGATATACATAATACTTTCATTTAGTTCCTGCGTGTACTATGAGAATGTGAAAGGATGGTGAAAGGGGCTGTGTACATCTACTCAAGGAGCTGGCACTTTTCAGATTTGTCTAAAAGGTGAATGGAGAGAAACAGTATTCATGTTACAAGAGTATCTGACAGGAACAGACCTGTAGATGGACTTTATAGAGGTCCCATAATATAAGGTCAGGAAACTTGGGGCACAGTCCAGAAAATCACTTAAGGGCTGTGTCATTACTCAGTTGAGCAAATATTTATTGGGTGCTAATCATTTACTGAGTGCCAGTCATCTTGATGATAGTGGACAAAGCAGATGCTTGCTCTTGGTATAAAGAGACATAAAGAGTCAATAACTTTCTTTAATCTCATCCAGGGGGTCCTCGTAAGACTTGCCTACAAAAAGTAACATTTGACCTCCATTTTGAAAAATGAAAAGAGCAGGAGTAGTATTTCCAGACAGGGATAATTCAGCCACCACAGTCCAGAGAATGGGGAATTTGTGGAGTCTGGAACGGTGTATGAGGTTAGAGCTGCTCCCCGCATCAGCGATGTAAGCAAAAACAAAACAACAATAACAACAACCAAAAAACAAACTGCTCTCTTCTGTGAAAGTCCAGGAGAGAGTTCAGGGACAGCATCGCAGTTTCGGTCATCAGGGACCTGGCTTCATCCACCTCCTGCACTCTGCCTCGTTAGGCGCCTTCTGCGTAGTGAGCCAGCTGCCTGTTCCGGCCAACACGTTATCCATTACAGTGAGCGGGAGAGTGAAAAGAGGAAGAGCCATGCCCCTGGTTAAGGGCATGGCATGCATCCTGTTGGCTCAAATTTAACCACCTGGCCATGCTTAGTTATACGAGAGGCTGGAAAACATCTTTATTCTATGGCCATATATTCAGCATTAAAAAAAAATCAATATTTAATTACGATGGTAGAGAAGAGCAGTCTTTAACACACATGGCTAGATCATGGAAGATAGGAAGAGAGAATGAGGCTAGAGAATCAGGCAGAGATCAGGTGTTCAGGTCCTCTACAGCCTGCTGAGGAATTTGAAAACTGGAGTGTTAGTAGAGTGCTATGATGAGTCTAGATACTTTGTAGAGAACCAGGTGGAGAAACGGGCCAGTCAAACCAAAGATGTTAGTTCGGAAGCTACTGTTACCATCTAGAGTTTTGGTGGCTAGAGCTAGAGAGTGAAATGAAATAATATGGAGTAGACAACTTTGAGAACAGTTCAGAAGGTAGACCACACAGGTTTGTTTTGTTTTGTTTGAGATGGGGTCTTAACTTGTAGTTCAGGCTGGCCTTGAACTCACTATGTAACCCAGGCTGGCCTCACACTCACAGTCCTCCTGCCTCAGCCTCCTGAATGCTTTGATTACAGATATGTGCCACCATGCCTGGCTCAGTTTAGTTCTTGAAGACACATTGGATGTAGATAGAGGGCTAGAAGGAGAAGGAAATCAGAGATGACTCTGGTCAGGCATGGTGGTGCACACCTATAATTCCAGCACTCGGGAGGCTGAGGCAGGAGGATGGCTGCAAGTTCAGGGCCAGCCTGGGCTACAAAGTGAGCTCAAAGCCAGCATGAACTACATAGTGAAACCCTGTCTGAAAAAGACCAAAAAAAAAGACACCTTCATAACAGACTTGAATAAGTATATACTTTTGTGTATAGTTACATGTTTAATTTTACATTGTTGATTCTACTAGGTCCTGGAAATGTACTAATTTAATACAGTTTTGAGGATTTTATGAATACAAAATATCTTCATAGTAGCAACTAAAATGAATGACTTCCCTTTATATTTATTTATTTTTGAAGCAGGATCTTGCTATCTAGTTCAAGCTGGCCCACACTCACTGCATAGCCCAGGCTGGCTTCAGACTCAGAGAAGTCCTCCTGCCTTGGCTTTCCGAGTCATGGGATTACAAGCATACACTGCCACATCTGGCGTTTCCTTCATTTTTATAAGAGCTAGCTTGGTAGAGTAGATTTTCATTAGTATATGTGATTATATACTAATGAATTTTTCAAGTGTAATGTGTTTCAAGTGTAATGTGTAATACCAGCAATTTTCAAGTGTAATGTGTTCTTTGGTCCCCTAATCTTCAGTGCCTTGAGGAAGTTTTTGAAGCTGTACTGTGGGCTAAAGTCTGAAAAGCTTATCAGTTTATAGCACAGTGCACATTTTCCCTTGGTGGGTGTGGTCCAAGACAAGGACTATTTGGTTTGCTCCTCAGGAGCAATATTTAATAGATTACTATGTGGAAGAGAAAGAGAGTTAAAATGCTTATTTATCACCAGAGTCTAGAGATTAGGTTTTTTGATCTTAATGTAGTATACTTTTGGGAAATCATGAAGGCTGTAGGGCGGAACACAATGCTGAGTTTAGAATTGATAGCAGACAGCTTTAAGGTAAGAATTTAAGATCAGTAGGTCTTATTTTAATTTGCTGTATTGTAGGAATTGTTGGGTTGTAAGCAGTAAGGGAGGGCTGTTTTGATCCATCCTCTGGCCATCTTCTTGCTCAGGAAGCATTCTTTTTACCTGTAGTGCCTTCAGTGTGATTTACCAGATTAATGCTGAGTCATCACACAGGATAGTTCACAGTCAGTCCATATATGTAGATATTTCTTGGTATTGGAGGAAACAGTTAAATATAGTTTCTGTGAAACTAAAAGTGGTTCTTAGTCAATGTGGGGTTTTAGAAGAAATTTATGAAAAGCCTTAAAGTCCATCTTGGTTTTATCATGTTGTGAGCATAAGTCAGCTAATTGAGAATGGCTATGATTCCAAGAAATGTGCAGATAGAATTATGTAGGTGTGATTGTCTGACTTCTAAGACAGAGTGTATATATGTATACCATAAAGCACGGCAGACGCCAAGCGTTATTTATCCTCAGTCCAGAGCCCTCAACTCCCACTGCCTGAGGGGCA